TACAAAATTTGTTCTGGGGTATGATACTCCAAAATGCAATATGACACACACCTTGAAAACGGGTAGTGTGGTCTGATATACCGGTTAATTCAGGTTTCTATCATGTGCCGAGTCTGGTACAGGTATGATATTATAGTATACTTTGTTCTCACTCACAGAGTATAGATTGACAGATATCTTAACTTGCTTGTTTATGTATAAAAGTTCATCAATTAGTTTTACATTACCCGTTGTAGATATTTGAATATTTAAATTTTTTTGTATTCTTTAACACTGTATATGTGTAAAAAGTTTTAATATGTAAGTTAAGTAAATGTATTCAGTCAACAATATGAACATCATATATCATATCTTTCTTCAGTATATTTATATATTCCCTCAAAGATGTCAACAGCATAAATATATATGTATATGGAAAGATGTTACAATACGGAACATATTGAATGTATTTGATCTAATATGAACATACATGTACATTTATGTATATTAGTTCATTAATTAGTTTTAGATTATTCATGGCTTACCATAAATATATACGGAAAGATGGTTCAATATCCAGCATATGTTAAGATACTATAAGGTCACTTACAGAGAACTTAGATTGAAAGATGTTTTAATTTAATAGCTATTGTACGGGTGTGTATACGACTTCATTTATCAGTTTTAGGTTAATTATGTGGCTTTTGCAAAATTACCACAATATGGACCTTGCAAATAAACTAATTTCTAATTCAAGTTGTCTTACTTGTATCTTTAAAATATAGGCCTTTATATCGCCTTTCTTTTATGATACTTTATAAAAGCAAATTTATTTATTTAAAGAAAGGGAGGGTTGCAGATGTCAGCCACTGAAAATGATAACACTTCAATACAACATAATAGTCAAAATTGCTGCCCAGATCACAGTGCTAAAACGTATTTTGATAGAAAACAATCCTCAGAGAGACCACTAGCCTCCAAAAGCAAAGCATATGTTCACCGTGATACAGTTGCTATAAAAGGTAATTCAAATGCAGTCTAAGAGAATATCTTATTCCAATAAACTCTATATCTGGGTACCAATGTGTCATTTGCCCAATATCTAAAGTAGCCTCAATTCCCAGATATCTTCAGAGAGAGAGTAGAGCGTTTACCTCTGCTTTATAAACACTGAAACCTCTTATTTTAACTTCTTCAAATTTTAGTTTCCTGTAAACAACACAGATACGGGGAATTTATATAAAATAATAATAAAAAAACAAACATAATACTCGCATAAATAAAAAATACACATTTGATGATCTGTAGAAAATAAAGAGCCTAAAACAGTCATATGGCAACTGGCTGAAAAACGTAACGTCATGGCGGTTATTTGAAACTTTTCAGTGAGTCCGCGTCACGAAGTAGCGCCGTTTCTGGACATCTGCGATGGCTGACGTGAAAAACCGTACCTTGCAAATAAAATCCTTTTAATAACAAACCAGGGCGTTTTGAGTTGTGATTTTGTAAAGATAATAAGAAAAGTTCATGTTATTACTCAAGATTTCAAAGGATTACTGAAACATCCACAAATTAAAATGAAATATGTTCACGATTTTGAATTTATGAAAAAAAATCGGTTTATAAATGACTCTCGTAGGGGGTGGGACTATATTGCGAGAAAAAAGTTGCCAGCCTGAATTTTTTCATTTTTAGATATGAGTTAAAATATCATCCAAAGTTTAAGATTTTGAAGGGAATAGTTTGCACACTCTCTAGTATGGTCACACGGTTCCCTAATCCAATATTCAACTAAAAATCTTGAAAAAAAAATGGCGCTTCTCGATACCTCTGCCAAACTATGAATTTTTTCTATCTAAAAACCGTTAAAGGTTACACATTTTATTCACATTTAATTGAAACTAACCTGAAATCGATGCTGAATCGCATACATCCAGTTTGAACTGTCATATACGTCTTGGCCTAAAGCGCCACCTGTGAGTAGTTACAGAAGTATGAGAATAAAAAGACACGTGTGAATTAGCGTGTTCGTCTTTATTTGACATGGTGTCAGAAGTGGGATCAGAAGTGCCGTGAAAAATCGGACTGAACTATCTCTAGGGGTACTAGAGAGAGAGAGGAAACTCAAATCCATTGACGTAATGGCTAAATTCCATCCTCCGGAGAACTTTAGGTTTCACGCGCCAAACGAGTGGCCGGAATGGCGCCAACGCTTCATCCGATATAGGCAGGCCACTAAACTGGACTCGGAGGCAGGGGGAATTCAAGTATCTGCTCTGATTTATGCTATGGGAAAGGATGCAGAACAAATATTTTCTACCTTTAAGCTATCCACAGCAGATGCTACGGCAGAAAATTCAGAAGGTGAGCCCGAGGCAGAGAATTTTGACGTTGTTATTGCTAAGTTTGACGAGTATTTCATTCCACGAAGGAATATTATTCATGAAAGGGCAAGATTCCGTCAACGCCGACAGATACCTGGAGAATCAGTTGAGACTTTTTATAGAAACTTAGTGGAACTTTCAGAAAATTGTGAATTCACCAACAAGGAGGAAGAGATAAGAGATGCTATTGTAATTGGAATCGCCGACAGAAATTGCTCATTAAAACTCCAATTAAAAGCCGACTTGACCCTGAAAACAGCATTAGAGATTGTTCGCAGTATGGAACTGATCAAATTACAAAACAGTACTAATCCAAGTGTTGCAAACGTGAGTGAAGTGGAGAAAGGAAATAGACAAGCCAGAGGTAAACCCAGAGGTCAAAACAGCCAACAAAGAGGTCAGCCCAGACGATGTGGACAATGTAATCATATACTAGACCACAGACATGCATCATGCCCAGCACAAAACAAAAAGTGTAATAAATGCCATAGAATTGGACACTTTGGTGTCGTGTGTCTCGTACTTTTAAAAGCAGTGCTAGTAAACAAATGGGTAGTGTTCATGAAGTTATTGCAGATGACATTGATGATGTAGAATGTTTCCTTGGATCATTGTTTACAGAGAATAGTAGTAATGATTCAGAATGGAATGTTAAACTAGACATGAATGGTCAGTCTGTAGATTTCAAAATAGATACAGGGGCAGATACCAGTGTAATTAGTAAGGCAATGTATGAAAGTCTAAAGCCAAGTCCCACACTCTCTCCCACCACAGTAGTGTTGAATAGTCCAGGTGGAAAATTAACCAACATTGGCAAGTTTGTAGCAAAAACAAAATTTAAAGAAAAAAATGTATACATTTACTGTACATGTTGTCAGAGAGAATGTGAGTAACTTGCTTGGAAGAAGTGCTTGTGTTGACATGGGTTTAGTAACTAGAGTGTTACAGGCAGATTCAGTTGGTACACTTAAGAGTGACCCAGTACATATTAAGTTGAAAGATAGTGCAAAACCATGCATATAGTGTTAGTGCAACCAGACGAGTCCCAATTCCATTGTTACCAAAAGTCAATGCAGAACTAGAACGTATGGAAAAGGCAGGTGTTATTGAGAAAGTAACTGACCCGGTTGAGTGGTGTGCACCCATGGTTCCAGTTGTGAAACCTAATGGTGATGTGCGCATACAGTNGGGTTGAGGGAGGGGTGGTCAGTACAGTGTTTAACGATCTGGTTATCACAGGATGGAGTGTTTGTCTTGGTATTGTAGGACTTTCTCCGCAAAGGTGTCTCGTCTTTGTGTGTAACTGCTTATGCAGAGCAAGGTGCACAAAATGTGCTAGGACGTCTCGTCCTGACAAAGGTGTCTCGCCTTTGTGTGTGTGTCTGCTTGGAAGATCACCGTTTGGAATGCTTGCACAAGGTTTCGCTTGTGACGGTATCCGTAGTTTCACAAAAGTATCTCGCTTTTGCGGCTGTGGTGCTTACAGATAGCGGCACAGTAGAGGTGGTGAGGACAGTCACCTGCGTGGCCTGTGGTCACTATTGTGAGCTAGCGGGTTCAGACAACGACGTGTTGATTGCTCAATAGTTGAGTAAGAACTCATGTTTGGGGGTGGCCGGTGTGGCGTGATAGACCCGTGCCGTGACGAAACCGTTCTGCACATGTAGATTGAAAGAAGCAACTTCCGGTATGACGATGTCGTCCTAAGTAGGCGCTATGTTTGCACTGAACTATGATTTTCCAATTCATAATTCAGTGGTTTTCGTCATGAGAGAGTATGTATTTGATAATCTTATTACTACAGTATACGGGGGAATGTTGGAAGTGAGTTTTTGATCGTGACTGAACTGTTTTGCTCTGTGTAAAAAACGTGGCAGATCTAAGACTCGTAGTATAAATCTTTTCACTCTACAATGTTCTTTCAATTCAGAGTTCAGTCATTTTCATTAAAAAGAAATTGTGTGTTTGATAATACTACAACTTTCTCTACGGGGAAATGTTGGAAATGCATGTGCAGCTACGTACTGTAAGTCAACAGACTGCTTCCCTCGCGTGAATAATCCGCCAGAACGGTTTATTCACGACGACGGTTTCTTCACGTGACGCCGGCTCATGTCTCAAGTAGGTGGTATATCACCATTACTGACTTAAACTGGGATAAAAGAAGGAAAAGCATCCGTTGATAATGAGGATGATTTATATTTATTTATAACCAATGAAAATGACAACGTGTAACTTGAAAAGATGAAAAAGGCTAAAATTGATGTCGCCTTTTTTACCACACTGCATCGTACCGGTATTTGTGTGTGTTTGGGGGGGGGGGGGGGGGGGGCTTTGCATCCGAAAATAGTTGTCTGAAAGCGTTGAGATATAGATATTGAAATTTAGGTTGTTTTGTATATTTCTATGACGAAGAGCTTGTTAACTGCATTACGCAAATTTCTTGAGATTATCTCGAGCAAATCACTATCATCTTCGGGAAAAACAAGACAAAACTCAGTTAGGGGCTACCAGACCGTTAGTTCTCTCTGAGTCAGCACCGTACAAATACTCTGGCAAATATTTGTTTAAGATTTTAAAAAATACTAGTGCTCTGTAGGTGTGGCGCAATCTCGGGTTTTAAAGATTCAAATAATGCTTCAAGCTTTCACAATATACGGTAGCGTCGTTTACTGCGGCGTTACTATACAAGGGCCTTGGGTTTAGTTAGGCTCGCTCGCTGTGTCCACAAGAGGGAGTTGCCGCAATTTCAAGAGAGGCTCTGATTTCTCGTACTACGTACGCACTGCTTTCTGAGCCATTGTGCAAGTATTGGTCTTTCAACCGTGCATTTATTTCGGCCACTTGCAGAAAGTTTGTACACAGAATTTGACAGGAGCAGCAAAGCGGCCATTTTAAGTAGGCCCACTTTTCAACAAACAGAATACAACCCCGCCTGTCGTTTAACTCTAGGTTTAAGGCCAACAACGTTACCAACTGAGCATTACTTGATTGACCACTACCGGACATACTGGCCATGGCAGACACAGGGGAACAAGGTACCACCACCACCACCACCACCACCACCACTACGACTGGTTCCTCTGGCACTACATGTACATTTAACATAGACTATGTCAAGACTCCTTTTGGTATCGTAAAACTGGTGGAACTGGTGAGTATCGTTCAACTTCTGTTCGTCATATCTGATGGAGTGAGTGTCCGTGGTGTAGAAAGAGGCGTCTCACCTCTGTATGAGAGTGACCAGAGAAGGGTTGTACGAGAGTCGTACAGCCTGGAAGGTGCATTTGCCAGATTTGCACTCAAGAGAGTGTTGAAAAGTTCGCCTTTTATTTATTTGCGCTTGTACTGTAGCTATAGTTCAAGCATTGTAACTGCGCAGAAAGAAAACATGGGAACAAAACCCGCTTTACAGCATTGGCCCTATAGCGAATAACAGTTTATATCATATCACTCCTTCACATAGGCGTAACGGAGGAAAATCCAAGGGAATTAGAGCATTAAAGGAGAATGGTCATATAAAATTCCATTTCTCGAATTCTGAAGATCTAGCACTTAATCTATACACTACAGTTATGTCTTAATCGATCCCCGCCATTTAAAAATTATAAAAACAATCTATTAGCAGAAAAAAAAGCGTTTTAGTAAACCTCACCTCAATATGCAAAAATGAAGCAACAGATCTGGGTCACGTGGTACAATGACGACGATCACGATAAAGGACTCTGAGACTCAGCTGAGCTGCACGGTGCATACAGACAGAGAAGTTTAGGAAAGTTGTATTGAACGGAGTTGAGCAATTTTCGTTATGCCTCAGTGTGTTGCCGTGGCAGGCCCGTAGCCAGCAAATTAAAAAGGGGGGTTCTTTTTTTGAAAAGGTGGACCTTTTACAATGAAACTTATGTGTACCAAGATCAAATTGTACTCAAAATGGACCTTTTCCTGGCAAAAGGGGGGTTCTCTCGAACCCCCCGAACCCCCCTGGCTACGGGCCTGCGTGGGATGCACTAAAAAATACAGGAAAGGATCTGGCATTCACATGTTTACATTCCCGAAGGACCCAGGTTTGAGGAAAACATGGACAGTCAAATTGAAAAGGGAAAACTTCACACCTACGGATCACTCGAGGCTTTGCTCTGACCATTTTGAAAAAAAAAACGCATACGAGCGTGATCCTGAGCTTATGTCACGATTGGGCATGGAAAGTGCTTATAAAAAGCCTATACTTAAACAAGATGCCATTCCTACAATCTTTAGTTTCACCAAGGGGAAAAGCGGAGGTGCCTTCATAAAGAGACTTGTTGGGGGTGGTCGGCTCATGCCCTAGTTAGATTGACTTTGCCGACTTGCAAGTGGGGCGGCTTCGGGACGCGATAAGCGCTTGTCTCTCCGTAGCTTATAAAATATATATATATAGAGAGAGAGTAACGATTGATTACGATATATAGAAGTTAGTTGATTTTCTGCACCCAAAAATTAGTACCTCAAATTTTATTAAACTTTAAACAAAGTTACTCTCTCCTACCATTCAGTATTATCCAGGCGTGGATCCACAGACTCGTCGGCTGAAAAATCTCCGTCAACCTCCGATACCTCGTAATGCTGACTTTCGGCGTCACTTTTAGAATCCGTAGACTCTTCTGAATAATGTATCATTGGTTCAAACTGGTATGGAGAAATTTCGAGGTCAGTTACAAGGTCTTCCATCCCAAATGTCGGTATGTCTTATGATCACGGTCTGTGCCCTGAATATCCCGCGGCGTAATTACTGGCAGCGCGAGCCAGTTACTATAAGTTACTATAAGTAACTGGCTCGCGCTGCCAGCAATTACGCGGCGGGATATTCAAGGCACAGACCGTGATCATAAGATAGCGCGAATAGAAAATAGATTTTTAGAAAATAGACATTCCATGTGAACGAAGCCTAAAATGCGCTCTAGTCACTCGACTACAGTATTTTATACTAGTTGGGATAACCATAATTAAATGCTAGTTAAAGAATTGAATAGACAGGAAAATGGCTTCACATGGCTTCACACGGCTTCACGAGGAATAAGACCCCACTGGTAAGAGATTTGAATGAGTATGAACTTTTATCAGGTGTCAAAAAGTCATCTTACAGGTAGACAATGCAGCTCAGTTTAACAGCTAAGCACGCTCTATTCTCCAGTGGCTCGATTGTCGTCATCGGACCACGTGACAACGTAGCTCATTAACTCTTAGGCCGAGCAAATAGGACGTTTTTTAAAGCCAAAAATTTACAAAATGAGCTTTTAATTTGTGTATTTGGGTAAAGTTATCGTTAGTTGGGCATGTTTTCTGAAGAATATGTTCCGTTCAGGCCATTCTGACGGTAAGACGCAAATCCTTTAACTCTCAAACCCGAGCGTCCCACAAACAATCTCATGCTTTTAACCAGGGGCGCTGTCAAAACACACGTCCTCAGGGGCCCAGCCTAGAGGTAGTTAAACTAAGGCTGTATTCCCAGAGCTTTTAGATCGATCTATCCCCGCGGGGAGTCTCACTAGATAACTGTCAGATAATCCGGCTTAAATGTCCGTCCCGCCTACTACAAGCTGTAAGGGGGTAATTAACTTTCGTGTCCGCTCGGCTGACAGCTATTTAGCGTGAACCCCCAGGGAGTTAGGTCGATCTAAAGTAGATCGATCTAATCTCTGGAAATGGGGTCTAAGGCATGAGCCGACCACCCCCAAACTGTATATACAATTTCTTTCCACGAGCGTCCCTACGCTTCAAATTGTTATTCGCTATAGGGCCAATGCTCTAAAGCGGGTTTTGTTCCCATGTTTTCTTTCTTTCAGTTACAATGCTTGAACTATAGCTACAATACAAGCGCAAATAAATAAAAGGCGAACTTTTCTACCATGGCCCATAGGAGCCTACGCGTGCGTCTTTTAGACGCCCCTTTACATGCGAAAACGACAAGGCCTATGCCGAGTTCGTCTTTTACTACAGAGCTTTGAGAGCCGAAAATGTCATGGCTGTGTCTCTTTCGCCACTAACTGAACGCGTTAGATGCGAGATTGACACGACCCATATCGCGTTCGTCTCTCAAATGACACTGTTATAAAACATGAAATAGGCATGACGTTTGGTTTTCGCAGCTGAATAAGTAGATTCTTATAAACGAAGCTGACGTGACCTTAAGAGACATGTCGCTTTCAACTCTTACAAACCTCAAACAAAATCGACAAGGCATAGGCCTTGTCGCTTCGCATGTAAAGGGGAGTCTAAAAGACGCACGCGTAGGCTCCTATGGGCCATGGTATTTTCAACACTTTCTGGAGTGCAAATCTGGCAAATGCAAGGGTCACTGTTTGTGCTTGTGATCGGTTACAGTGGTTTAAATTTAAAAAGCCGTTAACCCCCCCCCCCCCACTTCCTGCCCTTAAATACACGCTGTGTAGGGGTAGAAAGTTTAGTACTTGCGTTCATGTCTATTTTACGAAAACACTTAAAACCTCTTCAGCAGGTTTCTTTTACAATCTGGCGAAAAACAGGTTTAGGATAAAATATATGATATATTACGATTTTATCAAATGATAGGCGATTATTTGTTGTAAAGAAATAAAGAGACTTTAAATATCACAAAATCTCTTTTTTATGGGTCCTTGCAATCATCTTTGCTGGTTTTTCTTTTGTTTTACGGTACTCCTCCATGTTGCAATTTTTTTAGTCGTTGTTTTGTTATCTTTATACCTCTAGTTAAGGGAATAATGAATACCCCCAACCCCTATAAGAGGCTGTTTGAAATAAAAACCCTCTGTTCTGTTCCTAGATCTAAATTAAATCAGTCACTCGACATGAGAAATACTAGTAATAAAGGCAAACACAGTGATGATGTCCAAATTTTGCTCTTAAGAACACAAGCCTAAAGATGTATTAGCTGAAAAGGTGCGTCGGGTAGTATTGTTCTCGTCTCATATTTGTCTTGGTTTTACCTATGCTCCGTAGCCTACTATTTCTCACCAAGAAGTTATAAATTTAGTTATATAACTTATGTTATAACTTTATAACTTCTTGTTCTCGCTGACACCGTCAAATGTTTCCATTCTTTTTAAAACACGCCATATGTTAATACACAAGTATCTTCACTTCAGATTATCGGCATCATCTGCATTGGTTGTGTTGTTGCATACAGCGACCATTCTTTTACCCAGTGGTTCATGTTTGTGTCGTGTTCATGCTTTCTAGTTACCACTGTACTGCTAATCATCTTCTTATTTGGGGGAGACACCAAACTGACCCTCCCGTGGCCGCTTGTGGTAAGTTCGTGTGTTTTTTTTTTAATGTTTTCTCGGTGTGAACTGTGCTTTAGCAAAAATTAAAATACTGAATAAAAAACCTTGGATGACTGTCTAAAGAAAATCAAAATTGATTTCAAAATTAAAGCATTTAAGTCACTTGTTGATTTCCTTTTTTTACATTGGTAATTTTAAGAAGTTTTATAATTGTTTTTCTATGTATTTTATTATACGGTTTGTGGATTTAAAATGATGTTGACTGCTTGTTAATGAAGCGAAAGACTAGACTATGTATCAACTGACTTGAGAGAGGGAGAGAGAGAGGAGGGTTAATAATTATAAGGTGTGTCGGGGCAAGGAAGTGGTCAGAAAATCTTCCGTGGTCGGGTTCATAATTGTACCACCAGCGTTGGCGCTGGCGGTACACATGATTTTAGTCCCGTTGGATCGTTCCGCCGGCTCCGCCGCCATGTTACAGTTACCGCTTCTCCTCCTAGACGGTAAGGGCCTCCGTACCCATCTCTTGGATTTAGGTCACCTATAATCTCAACTCGTTCCACGTAAAATTTGGGCTTTGTCGGTATTGGGATCTAGGTGTGGCACTCATTGCAATGCACCCTTGTCCAAAAATGGCAAAATTAAATGCTAATTATCTACCCTACGGCTTTCCAAAAGTCATATGTGTAGATTTCAAATATGCCCTTGGATTTGACCTTTGACTTTTATTTCAAGGTCAAACGGGTCAAAATTTTCAAAAAAACGAAATTTTTGACGAAAAAAAATTATTTGCGCTGTTATTCAGACACTACACAAACTTAACCAATAATATTATTGGAAAGTGTTACCCTTTCTTCATCTCCGTGAATTTGGGGTCAATCGGTGCATTTTCACGGGAGTAGCGGCCATAAGATACCGAAACTGAAAACTGTCTCTTATTCGGGAACCGTTAATGCTAGAGACCCATTCTTTTTTGCATTTTGTAGAGCATGTAAAGCCCAACACTGAAAGTGGTCTCCGTTTTTTTTTTTTTTTTTTTTTTTTTGTATTCCATACAGTTTTCGAGTTACGCTGTGTCAAAAAGTACATATTGGTGGTGAAAGCAAAATTTGCAGTACGGTAATGGATAATAAATTTTGAACCCGAGAAAAAAAAACATAAGGCTTGGCGAGGCAAACAACTTCTGGTCAAAAATGACATTATTTCATGAAATTTGAACATCTGGAACTTCTGAGCACCTCCCATTTCAAGAATTTCAACCAAAATGACCTTAAGCTTTTCTTTATTCTAATTAATTTTATGGCACATTCTTGTAACTCCAAAATCATAACATTTAGTCCCTTATGTCCCCAAAGCTGGCAGAGATAGGACCATAGTTACTATTGAAGTTGAACTGGAAGTCATATACTGGCAATCTAAATGTGACCTTGAAATTGACCTTTGACCTACTTTTCATCATGAACTGAACTTGGCAAATTTTGGTTCCCTTTTATCTCCAAAACTGGCAGAGATAGGTCCATAGTTACTATTGAACTTGAATAGGAAGTCATATACTGGCAATCTAAAAGTGACCTTGAAATTGACCTATGACCTACTTTTTATCATGAATTGAACTTAGCAAATTTTGGTTCCCTTTCATCTCCAAAACTGGCAATGATACATTCATAGTTATTATTGAATTTGAATATGAAGTCATTAGAGACAATTTACTGTGACCTTAAAATTTACCTTTGGCCTATTTTTTACCATGAAGTTAACTGTGCAAATTTTAGTTCCCTTTTCACCATGAACTTAACTTTGCAAATTGTGGTTCCCTTTTATCTCCAAAACTGGCAGAGATACGCCCATAGTAGTTAGTTATTGAATTTGAATAGGAAGTCATATACTGGCAATCTAAGTGTGACCTTGAAATTGACCTTTGACCTACCTTATGATGAACTGAACTTTGATTGTACCATTTTTAGTTATATATATAGTTTTTTGCATGTTTTGAGAATTCTTGATTGCATTTTTACAACTTGTCAAGCACAAGACTGGTGGTGGTGTCCCTTTTTTTGTGGGGGGGGGGGGTCTATACGAATGGGCTTACTCCAGCTGGTGGTACAATATTCGGAGGCGGTATCGCACCTCTGATCCTCTAGTTGGGTTAGAGTTCAAATAATTTAATGCTCATTCGATGTAAGTTTTATATGTGTATAACAGCCCAGGACTGACCATATTTTTGGTGGTGAGCTTATTTGTGTTTATTATCTGTTGCTTCGTCCTTTTAAAACAAGCACACTATCTATTTTCAGGAACTTATCTACGGTTTTGTAGCCAGTGTGTTGTACCTGATTGCAGCTATTGTGTTAGCGGTGTTTGGGTACCGAAATTCAGCACTCATTGCTGGCACAGTAAGTGGATAAAATAATGAATAAAATGTGTAGCTTTCTTTTTTATTTATTTATTGCGGAAACAAATTAGCCACATGCAATTCTTCATTCGAGAGTTTAAAAAGCGTAATTATCTATCTGCAGATTGAGTAAAATACAATTATTTTTTGACACACAATCATTAATTGCTTGAAAACGGGGACGGTGACGTAATTTATACAAACCAAATATAAAACACGACAGGCCAACGACGTTATATACATGTATTACGTAGAATAGCGCATGGATAGATGTCTTCCATTTAATACATTACCTCTTGGAACACTACACACTTAAAAAACACAACCGCTGTTTTTGTCTCTGTTTCTGTACCTGACTGTCTGACTTCTTATCTAATTTTTAAAATCTTTTTTTTTTATTTTTCAGGTGTTTGCCTTCTTCAACGTGATCTTGTATGCAGTGGGGACTTTCCTAAGCTTCCAGGACTGGAAAGGAAGGTCCCCTGGGAACGTTGCATAGTTACCTATGTCTACATAAAAACTCTACGTACTGCATGGGATTTAAGTACGTTTTGTCAGACAGAATTTGATCCACTTTGTGGCGCTACACTTGAAGCCTACGATTTGTCTTTGGATTGCAAAGAACGAAAAAGTACACTATACAGCATATTGGGTTATGTGCTTTAACCAGCGAAGCACTACATATAGTCATTTTGAATAATGATGGAACACTTTGTCACTGCATCGTGTTATTCTAAAAAAATCTTCTTGTGTGTAGCTATTATATTTATGCTGAATCTTACCGGGCCAGGAATTCAGCTGTTTTTATATTCTCGGCTGTAGTTGACATGCCGTAATCCATACATTTCTGTCTTTATATTGTCTCCGTGTTCGTATTACCAGGTGCCATATTTTAATCGGTGAAGTATTATTAGGGGTTTCTGGTCGACTAGGTAAAATGTATTTTTGAGTTGTTATGCTCTTTGTTCTGGGTGTATTTCCCAGGTTTTTAACTGTTTGCCTAGCAGTGAGAACCCTGTTGTGGTATCTGGTATACTAGGTTCTGGGTGTATTTCCCAGGTGTTTAACTGTTTGCCTAGTAGTGAGAACCCTGAAGTGGTATCTGGTATACTAGGTTCTGGGTGTATTTCCCAGGTGTTTAACTGTATGCCTAGTAGTGAGAACCCTGAAGTGGTATCTGGTATACTAGGTTCTGGGTGTATTTCCCAGGTGTTTAACTGTATGCCTAGTAGTGAGAACCCTGAGGTGGTATCTGGTATACTAGGTTCTGGGTGCATTTCCTAGGTGTTTAACTGTTTGCCTAGTAGTGAGAACCCTGAGGTGGTATCTGGTATACTAGGTTAATATTTTGTGGGAGCTGTTATGCTCCTATTCTGCTGTATGTTCGTTTGCCTAGTCGGTTTTACCAGATATCCCTGTTTTTACGTGCACGGCTAAGCTGAGGCTGTTGCCTGCATTTTCGTCATTAATAAATGACAATTTTCAGTCATATGGACTTATCTTACTTAATTTGGAGCAAGAGTTTCGTTGTGCTTGTGAACATTTGGCTACATAAATGTATATTTCTATTTATTGTCATTTTTAATAAAGTTTTTTTTCCAAAATAAAAGTTTTATTCTTACGATTGAGGAGAGAGAGAGAGAGAGAGAGAGAGAGAAAGAGAGAAACAGCAAGGGGGAGAGAGTCAATAGAAAATACGGAAAAGTCAATACAGAATGCTTCTGTACTCTTAAATCACCCTTACCGCCCTTCCCACTACATGTTCCACCAATGAAACACCCCTAACAAAAAGATTCAAACCCCTACGGGGAGCAGCCCCCCCCCCCCCCCCCCAAAAAAAAAAAAAAAAAAAAAAAAACGCCTGATCTCGGTAAAATGTATCGACGACTCTCGTTTTTTCGCATATTTAGATCATTATTGATAATGCTGTGAGGTAACGATGTTATGAGTGAGGTAACAATGCACGTTACAACTCGATTTCATAAACGCACTTTTAAGCCGAAGCGACAAGAATTCTCTAAAGAGCGAAAGTCATTGCTTTATGCTTGTTGTACAAATATTCTACCAACTGAAAAAGGCAGTATTTATTCAAATCATTTCAAAGATACAAAGATTGGAGTTGGAGAATTGGAGTATTTGCATTTAACACATTAGGGAAATATCAGTTATTCCACACATTTTTTCAACAGAACTGAATAGGGTATTTCAAATAGAAAAAAAAACGTTATATACTAATTCTGCACACAAATTTCTTTATCAAAATGTTCGCAATAAGTTCATGAAGTATCGACAGACTTGAGTGTTGAAGACAGAGTGGTTTAACACGAACACTTCCGGTCAGCGCAGTATTGGACAGTGAAAGTGGCCCTGCACCCCTTGTTGACCCAGATCTTGTTGCCAAGGAAACCGAAGCTTTTGTTGTAGTCACAGCTTGAACGGGAGTGCTTCTTGGCCACATTGATAGAAGTTATTACTCCATCAACAGGACATTCGAAGTACTTATAATTGTGACTGCTGCAATCGGCATTGCCTGTAAAAAAATTAAGTAACTCTAATAATTTTTGCTCAATAAAATGATACCGATTAAGAAAAAGTAAAGTCAGTTCGACACCTGGTGTTAAAGCATAATTAAATAAATGTCACGTGCCAACACTCTTTGAATCAACAAAAAATAAACTTCACTTTAATTCCAAAGTAAGTGTTTTCAACTAAATATCTACACATTAAAATATACATATTATTTTTACACGTTAAAATAAAATCTTTTTTAAAGCAACTGCAATGCGAAATAATATCTCCTTTTACTTCTTTACAGACCTTTTGGTAACTCTTTTATTTTCTTTTTTTTTTTTTTTTTTTTTTTTTTTTTTTTTTTTTTTTTTTTTTGGTGGGGGGGGGCTTAAAATAAGGTGTGGTTGGGATGTGTGGCTCTTAAATTGTTTTCCCTTCAGTGATATTATAAAGAATTTTTAAAAATTTAAAAAGACACAAAGCTGGACGACAAAAATAACCGATTCCCACATTTTTTTTATAACCCCTTAAACCACATGCATGAATAAATCGCCAACTTACTCTTTTTCACATTTCCGCAGTTGAAATCGACGTAGAAGCGGGCTCTGCAGCCATGATTGACCCACAGATCACAGCCATTCACAGCGAATGAGTGGCCTACGTCACAGGAGGATCTTGACCTCTTGGTCATCACAGTGGCCGAAATAACGTCGACCCCAGTACAACAGGGATTGTGTCGGTAACCATTGCTGTCACAGTCAAAGATCCCTGTAGCGGCTAAGATAGGTTAAAAAAATTATTTGAAACTCGTTGATAATATCTTTGTTGTTTTATCTTTAATGATACAAAAGTTGCACAAGTTAGTGAATCCAAAAAATAGATCCAATTGCTGCATATCTGCATGAAGCGAATTAAAAAAAACGCTTGATTTGTTACCCTATTTCAGCAGGTTGACTTAAACACAACCACTTTATTATAAAAATATTAAACTATAGAAGTTAAAAATGATCGAACCGATCTTCGTTTTTAGCGAATATCCATAGATGCAATGTAACAAATGCATTTGAAACACTAAGTAAAACACAATGTATTCTATCAACGAAAAATTAAGAGAACGAACTCAGCTCCTCTCGACAATTTTACTTGGAAAATCTTATCTCAACATTTCATTTTTTACCTTCGCTTGTACCCCATATCCCAATCAGGCAAAGACTTAATACAACGATCATTTGGCCTTCCATCTTAACTTCTTCTGTATTTGCTCTTACAGCAAAAACGTCTTTCACCTCAAGAGCTTGGTCGAGATCTTGAATGCTCAGTTCTACCTGTACCGCGCTACTTATATTCATTTGTAAGCCGATCCCTTGGACGAGCCTTCTCTTGGAAATATAATTGAAACATAACATTTTATCAGGGACTAAACATCTGGAAGAAGACGTATGCGAAGACATGGTTTCATGCTGCGGTTATAAGTAAAATCAAAATCATCAGTCACGTTTCTTCTTGTGGCCTGAAGACGTACGTTTTAGGTTTTTTTTCTCATTAAGTACTCTCTTAATCTTATATTCTAATAATAAAAAATAATACGTCTTATACACCTCCTTGATTGGAAGGCCATTTGGGACACTTCTACTTTTTTCTTCTCATAAATATAGCACAATCTTTATAATTGATTGTGATAAGGGCGTTTCTTTTTTTTTTTTTTCTTTTTTTTGAGCAAAGATTTATAAATACACATTTTGATTTTATCCCTGTTAGAAATACTCAATCAAAACTTTACGATTTCCATTCATAAAAATATTGCAAAATATTTAAGGCTTATTAATAAAGCCTTTAAGTTTTATATCGATATGTACAAGATTTTTCTATTATTTAATTTGATGTTTAGACCAGTATGTGCTGCTGTTTTAAAATTTTAAGTTAAATTTTTTTTAAATTTTAATGTGTTTTTGTTATCAAATAACGTTGAAGAAAACTAAACTGTACTCAAGTGTATTTATAATGCATTTTTAACACTGTCGTTGTCTTTCTCTCTATTTTTTCTTTTACTTTTTTGCGTCTATTAAAAGTATTTCAGTCTTTTGTTATTTATGAGTTCATTATTATAAATGTTTTTCTCTCCTTTTACTTTTAGATTCACCACTGCATTGCCATTACAAGGCACTGAATTACACTGCATTGCATTGTTCTTGGACAATAAAGGTCTAACTTAGATAACAGGTTTTGCATTTTGATTACTTGGAATGACAGCAGCAACGTATTCCTTGTCTGGGTTATTGGTGTCATCTGTATTGGTTTTTCTGTTGTTCTAAGGTACTCTTCTAGATTGGAATTTTGAACTCGTTCTGCTATTCTAATGTCTCAGACAGTTATAGGAACGATGAATACCCCCGCATGAAGCTGTTTTGAAATAAAAAAACTCTTTGGTGTCTCCTCGATTTAAATTATTGCATTCACTCAACATGACATCAATAAGGACAAAAACAGTAATAATGTCCGATGAAGGCCACATTTATTGTAATGCCTCTCTATTCATCATCATCATCATCATTTAGAGCCTATAGTGTTCCACTGTTGGACAAAGGCCTCAGCATGCTTTTTCCATTGTTTCCTATCCTGAGCCTCAGATTTCCAGTTTGGCCAAGGTTTCTTCTTTAATGCCTCTCTATTAGAATAACTATTTAGATTAGCAATTAACATTCAACGGGTTTTCATAATACCGTTTATGTAACGTTTAGGCCTGAAAAATTATATAACTTAAAAAAAATTGTGCACATATGTCAAGAAGCCTTAATTGTAATAATAATGATGGAGCCAAATTAACCAAAAATACTGATAAGTCAATAGACGTGAGCAAGCCGAAATATGCTAGTCCAAAAGGTGTGGCGAGTAGTGTTTATCACGTCTCAAACTAGTTCATGCTTTAAAGTTACCCTTGCACTGCTAATCCTCTTCTTATTGCGGCTGGAAAAAAAAAAAAAAAAAAAAAAAAAAAAAAAAAAAAAAAAAAAAAAACTTGTGGTAAGTTCAAGTAATGTTTTCTTGGTGTTTTCTCAATGTGAAATGCATTTCAACGAAAATAAAATACTGAATAAAAACCCTTGAATTACTGTGCTGTAAGAAAATTAACAAGTGATTTGAAATCAAAGCATTTATACGACTTGTTGATTTCCTTTTTTATTTAACAAATGAACAAGTATTATTATATTTTTCAATGCTTTTTTATATATGGTTGATCCATTTTAGTACACGGTTAGTTGGTTTAAGACAATGCTGACTACTTGTAACTGAAGGCTTGAATATGTATCAACTGACATGAGAGAGAGAGAGGGAGAGTACTAATCATAAGGTGTGTCGAGGCAAGAAAGTAGACAGAAAAACGCCCTTGGTCGTGATTATACATGTAGTTGGGTTAGGGTTCAAATAATTTGATGAACTTTCGTTGTAAGTTATATATGTAAAACAACTAGGAACTTACCATATTTTCGGTGCTCCCCTATAAGCTGTGTCTTCTTTCTTTTACAACCAACATATCAGTTATTTCAGTAGCTTATCTTCGGTTTTGTCGCTAGGGTGTTATACCCGATTGCCGCCATTGTGTTAGCGGTGTTTACGTACAGAATTGCTGCACTCTTTGCTGGCACAGTAAGTGGATAAAAATATTGAATAAAATGGGTGGCTTTTTCTATGCTTTTTCTGACCGCATGTAACCTTGATTTTACTTTTCGAGGATATTAAAATCGTAATTACCTGTCAACAGAATATATAAGTAATTTGTTGACATACAATCATAAATTGCTTTAAAAACTAAAATGACATAATTCATGTATTTTGTGCATTGACAGATGTCTTCCAACTAATACACTCCTTCTTCAAGAAATACACATTAAAAAAACGAACATTGTTTTCCTGTGTGTGTCTCTGCCTGTCTGTCTTGACTTTTTATTTATTTACCTTTTTGTGATTTTCGACGTTTGTAATGAAGCATCTTTTTCAAAATACAGCTTTGATTCTTACAATGAGAGAGAGAGAAAGCGTTGAGTAGCATGGGCGAGAGAGTCAATAGAAAATAAGGAAAAGTCAATAGAGAATGCTCCTTAACTTTGAAATCATCCTTACTCACCAGTCAGAGAGAAAGATTTAAACCTCTACCGGGGGAGAGCACAGCCCTTATCATCCCCCCTCCCCCCCTCCAACATGAGCTGGCTGGGTAAAATGTATCAAGCACCCTTTTTCTTGCATATTTAGATATCATTGACAATCATTATCAGGCCTGTAGCCAGGGGGATTCGGGGGGTTCGAAAGAACCACCCTTTTTGCTGGGAAAAGGTCCACTCTGGGTAAAATTTGATCTATGTCCTTGAGGATTTTATGGTAAAAGGTCCACTTTTTCAGAAAACGACCCCCCCCCCCCTGAAACTGCTGGCAACGGGCCTGATTATTATGTTACGAATTTGTTAACGGTGTACGTTACAAACCGTTGTCATTAACGCAGCTTTTAAGCCGAAGCAACAAAAATCTTCTAAAAATCTCGCGGCGAAAGACAGGTTCGTGTTACTATGAGAACTATTTAAAATCGCACACGTTGCAGCAGTACTTATTTAAATAAATTAACAGAAGCGAAATTTGACTGCTTGATATAATTTTATTCATAACATGAGGCAAATATCAGTTATTCCACACACCTTTAATTTCAACAGAACTGAATAAGATATAAATAGACATAACTTTTATACTTAATATATACAGGGCCGTAGCCTCCGGGGGGGCAGGGGGGGCAGCTGCCCCCCCTGGGATTTGAGGTGCAAATAAGTCAAAATATATATATATTAACAGATTGAATACACTTCTTGTATCTTGTTGAAATACAATCATGAATTGCTTAAAAAGAACTAAAGTGACATGATTCATACATTTTAACAAGAACACTTTCGGTCAGCGCAGTATTGGACAGTGAAAGTGGCCCTGCACCCATTGTCAACCCAGATATTGTTGGCAAGGAAACCAAAGCTTCTGTTGAGGTCACAGCTGGAGCGGGAGTGCTTCTTGGCCACCTTGACAGAAGTTATGACTCCACCGACGGGACACTCGGCGTATTCATAATTTCGACTGCTGCAATAGACACCGCCTGTAAAAAAGGGAAATTATGTAACTCTAATAATCATTTTCGTTCAATATACTGATACGGACTAGGAAAAACTAGTCTGTTCGAATACAGGAATCGTAGTGTTCAAGTGTAAACCAAGAATGTGAGCGTATTGTGATATGCCTACCTCATTAAAAAAATTAAGGCGAACAAAACCTGGACGACAAAAGTAGGCCAACAGTTTCTTGAATCCTTTTGATGACTAAATCCTTTTGATAACTCCTAAAACTACGTGTATGGATAAATTGCCAACTCACTCGTTTTCACATTTCTGCAGTTGAAATCGATGTAGAAGCGGGCCCTGCATCCATGATTGACCCATAGGCTACAGCCATTCGCAGCGAATGAATGGCCTTGGTGGCAGGAGGACCATGACCTCTTGGTCATCACCCTGGCCGAAATACCTCGGACTCCCGTGCAACAGGAATTGCGTCGGTTAAGATTGCTGTCACAGTCAAATATCCCGGTAGCGGCTTATATAAGTAAAAAAAAAATTAATGCGTTGATAATGTCTTTGTTGTCTTATCTTTCTTGGCACAAAAGTTGCACATGTGGTGAAAAAAAGATCAAATTGCTGCATATCTACATGAAGCGCATTTTCAAAAAACGTTTGATTTGTTACCCTATTTCCGTAAGTTGACTTAAAAACATAAACCTACATTATAATCAAAAAACAAATGAAAAGTTAGTAGCTGAAAATGATCGAACCGATCTTCATTTTTAGCAAATATCCATTAATGCAATGTGACAAATCCATTTGAAACATAAGTAAAGCACAATGTACATGTGTTCTAACTTATCAACGAGGAATTTTAATTCTCTTAAAAGAGACTGAACTCAGTCCCACTCGACAATTTTACTTGCAAAACCTTATTTCAACATCTTATTTTTTACCTTCGCTTGTACCCCATATCCCAATCAGGCAAAGACTTAATACAACGATCATTTGGCCTTCCATCTTAACTTCTTTTGCGTTTACTATCACAGCAAAAACGTCTTTCGCCTCGGGGCTTCGTCGAGATCTTGAATGCTCACTTCTACATGTGCCGTGCTACTTATATTCTGCTCGCGAGACAGTACACGAGTAATTTTCACGTACAACTCAGCGACAAGTGTTTTATCTGGCTTAAACTACGGCCTCTGATTGGCTACTTGCACTAGTGAATGCAAAAGACCGTGGAACGCACGGATTTCTGAGTACCTTATAACTTACAATAGCTTTTGATTGGACAAAGAGCGTCCAGCGAGCATACTGCTGATTTAACAGTAATGAATGGTGATATGTGTTCACTGACAAGGTAGTTTTATTCACAGAAGGGTTTACAATCACATCTCTATCATCAGAATATACGCTACGCATTTAGACTGTGGATTAATATTTTATAGTTAGCATTACTCGGAGGGGGGGGGGGGGGTTGAAGGAAAATTAATCAACTTGTACAAAATCTGATAACAGATTATACATGTATACTATTTTTCTCAAATTTTATCTTGATTGAAATAGCATACCGTAACCGGCGACGAAAAGAAAACCTCGGGTATAGATCTCTGCTTCGATAGAAGTGTACAAGCGCCTTGTCTTCTAGACCATTATTGTAAATAATAGGGTCAAGGGGTTTATTCCTATATTTGTACATTTCCGATCCACTATCCCCCGTCTCTGTAGTCGACTCGTTGTTAGTTTCACCGCTTTCGGACTGACTGTCCTCTGACTCTGTGTTTTACATTTGGGTTTGCTCCGGGAGGAGGGAGGACTCAGCAAACACAAGCACGTTATAATGTGGTAGCAACGTGCTAGCCACGTGATCTGAACGTGACGTGTTTGCTGGGGAGGAAGTTGGTAGGGGTAGTTCTCTAGTTAATTTATTATATATTTATTATATTTCTATGAGTTGTTTACAATGTATTTATTGTGAAATATGGATATATTACGAACGGTTGATATCCCTTTAAAAAAAATAAAAATATTGAATAAAAACCCTTGAATTACTGTGCTTTCAGAAAATTAACGAGTGATTTGAATAGTAAAGAATTTGAATCACTTGTTGCTTTCTTTTTTTATTGAGCAAATGTTTTTATTGTTTTTCGATGTATTTTTATATATGGTTGATCTATTTTTAATTAACGAGTGAGTTGGTTTAAAATAATGCCGTATACTTGTAACAAGTCTTGAATATGTATTAAAACTGACATTAGGGAGAGAGAGAGAGAGAGAGAGAGAGAGAGAGAATTAATAATTATAAGATGGACCATGACAACTATTTAAAAACACACACGTTGCTGCAGTATTTATTCAAATAAATTAAGAGAAACGAAAATTGCTTGGATTATTTTTTATTTAAAACATGAAGCAAATATCAGTTATTCCACACACCTTTAATTTCAACAGAACTGAATAAGATGTTCCAAAATAGATATAACTGTTGTACAGTGTACTCCTTTATATATGCATATGTTTTATATCTTATTTAATTTTAACGGAAATGAAAAGGGATATTTCAAAATAGAAATATAACTTTCAAGTACTAATCATGCACAATTTTCTTTTTCAAAATGAGTTATATCAGCAATAAGTCCATGAAACATCTTGTATCGACAGACTTGAGTGTTGAACACGGATTGGTTTAACAAGATCACTTCCGGTCAGTATTTGTTTAGCAAGAACACTTCCGGTCAGCGCAGTACTGGACAGTGAAAGTGGCCCTGCACCCATCGTCTACCCAGATTTTGTTGGCAAGGAAACCGAAGCTTTTGTTGAAGTCACAGCTGGAACGGGAGTGCTTCTTGGCCACATTGATAGAAGTTATTACTCCACCGACGGGACATTCGGCGTATTTATAATTGCGACTGCTGCAATCGGCATTGCCTGTAAAAAGCATAAAATTAACTAGAATCATTTTCGTTCAATAAACTGATACGGATTAGGAAAAACTAGTCTGTTCGAATACAGGAAGCGTAGTGTTCAAGTGTCAACCAAGAATGAGATAAATAAATGAATGCAACGTGCCTGCATTCTCTGAATAAACAAAAGTTAAAAAAAACTTCAATTAGTACCTCTATATGCGTTTTTAACTAAATGCCTTTCACATTTAAAAAAAAAATTACAAAGTAAACTTACTAAAATCTTTTTAAAAAGATTGCAATTTGAAATCATGTCTCTTTTTACTTCTTTATAGACATTTTGGTCACTCCAATTTTGTTTAGGTTGTTAAAAGCGTTGTGTTTGCAAATTGCAACTCAACAAATTATTATCCCTCAAAAGTTTTTTTAAAAGGTGAACAAAACCTGGACGACAAAAGTAGGTTAACTATTTCTTAAATCCTTTTGATAACCATTTAAACTACGTTTATGGATAAATTGCCAACTTACTCGTTTTCACATTTCTGCAGTTGAAATTGACGTAGAAGCGGGCTCTGCACCCGTGATTGACCCATAGACTACAGCCATTTACAGCGAATGAGTATCCTGCGTCACAGGAGGATCTTGATCTCTTGGTCATCACACTGGCCGAAATACCTCGGACCCCCGTGCAACATGATTTGTATTGGTAACCATTGCTGTCACAGTCAAAGATCCCCGTTACGGCTGAGATAGGTAAAACAATGTTTGAAAAATGTTGATTAATTTTTTGTTGTTCTATGTTTGTTAATACAAGAGTTACAAGCATTGGTGAATCGAAAAAAAAAGAGAAAAAAAGGAAGAAATTGCTGCATATTTACATGAATTGATTTTTCATAAAACGCATCAATTGTAACGCATCAATTATTATTTCCACACGTTGACTTAAAAACATAGGCCTCCTTTATTACTAAAAAATCAAACTATAAAAGACGAAAATGATCTCACAGATCTTCATCTCTAGCAAATGCTCATTAATGCAATGTAAAAAAAAAACATTTGAAGCATTAAGTGAAGCACAATGTATTTTAACTTATAAGCGAAGAGTTAAGAGAATGAACTGGACCCCTTTTGACAATTTTCTTACAAAAGCTTATCTCAACATTTAATTTTTACCTTCGCTTGTACCCCACATCCCGATCAGGCAAAGACTAAATACAACCATCATTTGACCTTCCATTTTCTCTTCTTCTGTATTTTCTCTCGGAGCTAAAATGTCGTTCGTCTCAGATATCGAGAGCTTGATCGCAACTTGAATGTCCAGTTCCATGTACGGCGCGACTTATATTCATTTGTAAGCGGATCTTGTGGACAAGCAAATTTTTGGCAATAAATTAAAGCGCAACATTTTTCTCGGGAACTAGATATTTTTAAGAGGTCGCATGGGAAGACCTTATTTCCGGCTGCGGTTAGAAATAAGATCAAAATCATCGGTCACTTTTCGTCTTTTGACCTGATATTTGACAGATATTTTTGATTTTCTCTCATATTCAAATTCTATACTCTCATACTCATATACTCTAATAATTAACAGTAATGATGTAGGCTATATATATATATATATATATATATATATATATATATAAGCGTGAGTGTGGTACAGAGTGCTCAACAGTCCGGAGCATTTATGCACAATTAAAATAAATAAATAAACAAGAGACATGTAAAAGGTATGCCCAGGAAGTTTATTTAAAATGGTTTTTAGACGTTTATCTACACAGAGTGACGACACTTACGTCGCACGCCGTGTCAGTTACGTCACCTTATGCGGCCGACGCATGGATATTATTTCAGTTCTTTTATTTTGAGTATCTGGTGTTATCATTATTAACATTTTTTCATCCAGGCAGAGGTTGCATAGGTGCTGATTTCTCCTTTGTGGGCAATCAAGTTGAGATCTTCTGGGTATGCCCGTGAAACTCGGAGTCGGGGTTATTACATGTATCTTGTTTATTTATTTATGTATTTATTTTAATTATATATATATATATATATATATATATATATATATAATATATATATATATATATATATATATTAAATTTTATTTTAAAATTATTATATCCTATTGCTTCATCTAATAAGGTAAGCACGACCTAAACTTCTCTCTCTCTCTCTCCTAGCTGCAACTTTGTTGGATTACGAACTCTCTTTGAAAATATCATGTGCTAAGCCTTGCACAGAGTTTTTTTGCAAATGATTTACTAATACGTAGTTTTCGAGATACACATTTTGTTAAAGCTTTATTTTTTATTCATAAATTTCTAAAATATTACAGTGGAAAACCTGTATATAATAAATTTACTTGAAAACCACACGTAGATGGTTGTGTGTGATAAATCTCATTACACTATAAACATGATACAAAATAATTCTTCAATCACTTTTTGAGCACTAAATCAGTTTTAGCTGTGATCAGTTTTCCACATAATCATGATCTGCAAAAGTGAAAGTCACTGCAAGGATGGTACAGGATAACACATAGGACATTATAAGACCATAAATTAAATAGCCTAATAGCCTGAGTCAAAGGTTATCAATTTAATTGCCTTAACGACGGCACTAATATTGCTTGAGCATGCAGGATGTGCGGCACATGTTTTAGAGTAAAAGGGAAGTTGCCAATTTAAATAGGATATGCTTCGGACAATTAAGGAGGTGCGTCTTATAGACCTTCGTGATTGGAAGGGCATTTGAGATATTTCTACTTTTTTTCTTCTCACAAATGTATCACAACGCCGCTTTATGATAAATAGTGAAATTGCCATTTCTTGGAGCAAACATATATAAATACACATTTTGATTTTCTCCTTTACTGTTACATGTAGAAATACCCGATCGAAGCTTCACGTTTTTCATTCATAAAAGTGTTGTGTACAAACGTGTCTTCAGAACCACGAAATCGCAATTCCATAAATTTCTCTTCTTGTGTTGTTTGTTTACATATAAATAAGGCTGTCTGTTTGTTATTGAAGTTGGCAAAAGATGTCAGGTATCGCATGCAGAATAGGGGGCCTATCTCCACCTATGTGTAGGCCTACTGCGTACATCTTGGGTTTATTCATATTCCACAAACATTCCTGTCATGCCTCATTTTTCTTTCTTCCTTTCTTTTTAAGTTAAAAGGGGGGGGGGGGTCAATATGTACAGTGTATACTGCTTAAGAAATTTCTACAATTCAGCCGTGACTTAGGCAGAGACAGGCCTAAATAGAATAGTTTGATAATATTTAGATTTGTCTTTCTGTATGATGTTCATTTTTTTTCCTTCTCCTGGGAAATTATTGAAGTATTGTGAAATCAGTAGATTTAATGTTTGAATTCAAGTCTTGAATTACTTATTAAATGAGAAAATAATATGCCCTAATAATAATAATAATCGACACAGTAAGAAAATTCCACCAGTTAAATTGGAATTAAAAGTAAGAACATTTTATAAAATAAAACGGTACAAAATTTACCCTGAAATGAGAATTTATAGCTCCAACCGGTGTAACAGGAGTGGAAGTCAGATAGGAACCGTAGTCCGTCTCCCATTACTTTGTACAGGTGTCATTCGTCCCATATACTAACCTCAATACTCGATACGGAATCGCCCGAGTTTGGCCGAAAGACTTTCCGATGCCTGTCTTGCTCTTCCGTGTTAGGAGACCTATAAATTTCCTGCTGTAACGTAGCGTATCTTCCTGAACATGTCACATTAATACAGCATTTCATCTCAAAATGGGTCATATCTACTTGTAACCCAGCAGTTTTTGCTGCACATGGATGGCATCAAATCAAGGAATGATTATGCGTTAGTTCATTTCAAACGTAATTCTATGGTTTCAAACAAAAATGTAAGTAAACAAAACTTGAAGCTGAACATAAATCTTGCTGTTTTTCTGAATCTTTAGTGGTTTCTAATGTAAGTGTTCACCGGTGACAAATGATACCACTGTATGTTTTAACATAATTTGTCTGTAAACATGACAGGAAACTTGTCTAATGTGCTCGTTGCATGCGAGGTCGTTGTCTGGTCAAGCTCATTTCAAGCTGTATAGTACAGTGTAGGCCCATATACAAAGTGAATGGAGGAATGGTCTAGCTGTAGTCTACAGTGTAGAAATTATTGAGATTCCCATTTGGAGGTTTGGAGATTCGCTTAATATTTCACATTCATGCTTCGGTTATTTGGGCACTATACTTAATGGCAATGTAAATGTTATAGAGTAAACACACGTACATGTGGTACAGTGTGCACTATATTTACAAAATTTTTAAGTTGTAGATATATATTAAATTATACCATGAATGTGGAGGGTATTTGGTATATTGGACTCCAATTAACTGTTCCCTGCCCAACTTTGACATGGATGGATTAGATCTAAATAGATAACCTGCTTAATTGCTGCTATTCCCATTGTTGTGCACTAAATGACTCCTCATAAGGAAAAGATTATATCAGAGTTCCATTTAGAGGATGTCAGGTCAGTTATTTACTCAATAACCTGATCAAAGTAATCAGCCTTCAGTACACCTGGATCTGAAAAAGACTTGAAGGTAATGATCTTTAATTTCCTTCGTTACTCTGGGTCAGATTGCCTCTTTTTCTTTCCTTCACATTGCCAGATTACCAGAGTAAAGGTTTTTGCCATTGTTTTAGAAAAACATTTTTTTTTCCGGAAAATCCATCCACTACCTAATTCCTTTAATCAGCTCTACCAATTTTTTTTCATTCATTACTCCAATATTCATAACAGTTTTTAGTATGTGGAGTTTTGTCATCATGGTTTCTGATCCGACTCTGGCAGGCTCCATGTACCAAAGACCAAAAGCCTCTAACCAGTTTTATGAAGGTTTTGTTTTCACATGTGTCTTCTCAACATTTCATTATGTGGTATATCTTGTCCAGTTGGGCAAGTTTAAAAAAATGTTTCATGAAACAGACTGCAGTGTGTTACTCTTGTACTCTTTTTCCAATGTTTGTCAGTATGTGTCTTTGCATTCATTTTATGTTTTGCTTTTTACTAAATGCAAAATATGACAAAATTTGTCTGTTGTGCTTGTGATTTCCCAGCTAAGACTTAGCTGCTTGTCAGAATGCATTACATAGATTTCCAGTAGAACAATTCACTGTTGTAAGTTGTCGGCTACATCTTTGGCCATGTCATACTAACAGGTTTAACTAACAGATCATACTAACAGGCTTTACTTACAGTTACCATCCTTTACAAAAATGATATCTGGTGTCTTTTCCCTTCCACTTGACATTATAGGATATTTATACATGTAAAGAGAGATTGAGTCTAAGACCCCATTCCCATAGATTTTAGAGCGATCTATCCCTGTGGGGAGTCTCACTAGATTACAGTCAGCTTAGCCGGCCTAAGGGCCTGTCCCGCCTACTAAAAGCTGTAAGGGGGTAATTAACTATGGTGCGTGCTCGGCTGACTGCAATATAGCGTGAAGCCCCAGGGAGTTAGGTCGATCTAAATCTTAATCCCTGGATCGATCTAAATCTCTGGGAATACACCCTAAGTCACCCTAGAATACGTTTTATTATAGCCCAATCCATTCAGAATTTTTATCTCAATCATTAGTATAATTATTTATTATATATATATATATATATTTTTTTTTTTTTTTTTGAAAAACAAAAGTGATAAATACTCATTTTCCTTAAGCCAAATTAGATTATGCTTATAACACTTGAGTAAAATTTACTTTCTGGTATATGCTACAGTGAAATCCTAAATGTCATATAAATATTGGTAATAATGAATTTATAATACTGAGTGCAATTCATGTAGCAGCTTGCTCATATGAACCTGAGTTCAGATAGTTTTTTTTTTTTTTTTTGCCAGTCAGTAAGGTATAGAAAAAGCCATTAGGAAATAAAGGCCATATGGCAATTATGCATGGTAATTTTCACGGCTATATGTGAAGTACATGGGATATTATTTTATCATCATGATAATTACTGGGTTAAGCTGGAAATGTGGAAGTTATTTACAAAAATAAAATGGCATAAGCATGAAATTCTCCCCCCTCCCCGCCCCAAATTTTTATTCTATTATATTTTATTATGATTATACTTTGGTAATGTTCTAATGTGGATTGTTACTTTAATTTGTGTCAAGGTTGTATATGAATTATGTATATATCTTTTTAAACATTTAAAAGCTGGCTTGAATTAAATACATACATCTGGTAAGATTGAAATTGAGTTTTGTTTCCTTTTGTTTCAACCCCCTTATTCATTCTGCAAATATCTTTATTCTGTATATGAAAGAAGTAACTGAAAATTGGTACAGTGCCACTATTTCACAATTTGAAAAATTTGCAGTATATCAGAAGCAAAATAAATAAATAAATTATAAAATAAAAAAATAATAAAATAGATGTTAAGCATTTTATGAGTAACTGGTCTGAATCACTCGATGTGATTTTCCTGATATGATTTACAACTTTCTTTCCTAGCCGATATTGCCTGTAGAATCGACTTGTGAAGGGAACGGCACCATGATGTACTGCATGACCTCAGAGCATGCGGCGGGGGAGGACTACACAGAGGTGGCCAGGCACTTCAATGTGGACGTAAAGACTGGCTTAAGTCATGCAGAGGCAGAAGCCAGACAGAAGGCACATGGATATAACGAATTTGAGATTATTGAAGAGGAGACTTTATTGAAAAAATACCTTGGTCAGGTAACAATACACAGGGGTGGATGGAAGCCATCTTCTGGGTCCTCCAGAAGGGAGTCAGAATTTTTTGTGGCAGGGGATGGCCAAATATGAAGGATGGATCAACAAAGATAATTTGGAAGACTGTCAGAAAGTATCTCTGGGTCCACCTCTGATACAAGGACTTAATATTCATGCACCGGTTGTGGTCTGGAAAGAAATCCAGAGCAGATTTTTATTTTCAATTGTTCAAGTGTATAGTTTTAAATTTTCGAACAAGTTTTAAAGACAGCAAGTTTTGAATCAAAATAGCATCCATGGTAAACTGAAAGTTTTGGTAGATACAGTATGTTCTTACTAAAGTCTAATTAAAGATTCATTTGATTTTTAATTAAAGCACACTTTGTTCATTGATATTTTGCAACAGGGTTGGTTTGAGAATTCTAAAAGCCAAGTTGCATGCAAGTTAGATGGGTTTTAAAGATACAAAAAATGACGAACCGTGAAAAAATTATGAAATAAGGTGTTTAAAACGTGGAAGTAATTACCTCGAATATTTAACACAATTTTGGGACACAGCTACAAACCTCAAAATACATTTATTTATTTATTGCTTACTATTACACATTTTTATGTTTTTTGTTTTGTTTTTTTCAGTTCAAGGATCCCCTGATAATGCTGTTGCTGGGCTCAGCTTTAGTCAGTGTTCTTATGAAACAGTTTGATGATGCAATTAGTATAACAGTAGTAAGTATGCATAGTTTTTATAGTTGCTATGTGAGAGGAGAGGAAGAAATTATTTACTCGGTTCAATAATTGGTTGGTGTTGGTGGCGAGAGCCGGGAGTCACCCTGTGTTGCTTGAGCAGTAACACCTTGACAACCGAGCGGCACGATAAATTGTTAAAATACTGAGATGGATATTTGAGCGAGGTTGGCAATTATTGAAGGTGAGGTCAATAAAATTTTATGGAGATAATAATAATGATAATTATAATAATGATAATAACATCAATAATTTCTTCTGTCACACATTTTATTAAAAATGTCAATGTATGTTATTAAAGCATTGAAATTAATTTATGAAATTAATGAAGAATTGTAACGTTAACTTTTTAACTTAAAGTTAAAAGATAAAATGTTTAATATCCAAGATATACAATATAATATCTAATTTCAAAAATATGATACTAAGATTGTTTTGATCGGTGGATAGTTTTGAAAATGTGCTGTGAAGAGAGATTTCAAACTGTTCAGGTTCTTAGCCATCCTGCTAACATTAAACAGAATATGGTCTTTCTGAACTCTCATGTACCCCCGACCCATTTCAAAATTTTCAGTTCTATTTGCTGCATATTATCAGCAAATGAAATGTGTTTTCCACACATGTCACATTCACAAGCATTGAACTAAAACTTGCAGACATTCTTCTATTGAACACAATTTAATAATGCTGCATGTGATAAAAAGAGATAAAACCTTTTTTTAGAGAATCATCACAGTTTTGTATCTTATTCTATAAATGTCTGTATGAAGAATTTGAATAACAAATGAAATGACATTATTATAGAAGAGTGACGTTTGTTTTTCAGGCCATAACAATAGTGGTAACAGTGGCATTTATACAGGTAAGGAAAAAACTCGATACGTGCAGTTAGACAGCTGTCAGTAAAAGAGTGAGTAAAAAGGTGTAATACATATGAAATGAAGTGAAAATTTTAGTGAAAGTAGAACTTTACACCTGTCTATTGTGTAAAATACTGACTGAATTCCTGTATAAAATTCACACTTCAGATCATGGTTAACTGATGTGTATAGCTATTTTTCAGATATAATAGCAACACAAGAACTTTTCTCCTCCACTGATCATTTATTTGCACTGTTTTTTAGGAATATAGATCAGAAAAATCCTTAGAGGCCCTGAAACAATTGGTCCCTCCAAAATGTCACTGGTAAGTCCATCAGAAAATGACCTGTTTTTTTTCATATTGAATTTTGATTATAACATTAGGATACAGAGACAAAGCTGCAGATTGCTTCATATGAATGGTGGATGTCATTGATTTTTTTATTAAGATATATATGTTTTAATAATTAACCATTATGTTTGTAATCATTCTTCTCACACAATTTTTCAATCAGCACACTGCATATTATATCGTAAGGTAAACAGTTGAACTGGTTTTTGAAAGCACCACAATGTATTCTTCACTATGCCTGGTTGAAAGTTCATCTTTTATTTATGTAAGGTTTTTAGCAAGTACCTTAATGATTTAATATGTAATTTTTTATCACATACCACTGATTCTATCTTAATGGCTGTGATAATGAATTTCTATTCCATATGAAATACAAAAATGGATCTGCAAAATATGTTTAGATTAATTGCTTTGAAGGAATGAATGGATGAGTGTATTTTACATTTAAGATTTTAAAAATCATAAATGCTCTCAATTGCAGTTTTCATGGAGTATTTTATGCTTTTCCTTCCATGCCTAATGAATAGAATGTTATAAGGCAGCCTATGTATTACTGTTCCTCCAAATTGTCTATATTTCAGCCTCCGTGATGGTCATTTAGAAACATTTTTAGCTCGGAATTTGGTACCAGGAGACATAGTTCACTTGACTATTGGTGACAGGGTTCCAGCAGATATACGCTTATTTGAGGTAAATTTTTGTGTCTTCCATCCCAGGGTACCACAAACTTTCATTGTCCCATTATTGATTAAACTAAGCTCTGTACAATGATTTTTACTCTCAGAGGTGCAAACATACCATAAAAGTATTTTAGCGTGTTTAAGGGCCTACCTCTGAAAAAAAAAAGCCCAAAACCTTAGTCAACTTTGCATAGTTGGCTATCAATTCCATCATATTATAAGCCAATTAAAGAACTTGAGAACTTTTGTGAATCAGGCCCTAGGTCAGAATACGTATTGTCATTAACTTGGTGGCAAGTGTACCTCAGTTTACCAGGAAGTTTCATGTTAGCATTTAAGATGGTTTAATTGATGTGCGCACAATGCTACAGGTGTCCACATATAAAAAGTTCAAGTATAGTATTTTTAAATTACTGGTACTGTTATAGTCTGTTTTAACAGGAGAGTAAGTAAATATTATTCTATCATAAATAATATGTCCAGGTTGACTGTAAACTGTTTAAAAGATTTTTAGCTTGTGTTTGATCATTTTCATTTATGATCCAACTACCAAGCTAATGAACATTTTTGCTTATTTACAAGATTATTTTAATTTAGAAATCTTATGCTAGCGCACACTGAGCTTAGGACATTAATGATGACTATTACTGTTATTATTTTTCTTTATTATTTTTTAACAATTTATTGAGGTGCCATGTTCATTTTCAACCACAGTGTTGATTGTGTTTACAGACAACAGACTTATCCATAGATGAGTCTAGCTTTACGGGAGAAACCCAGCCAGCCAACAAGACTTCAGCAGTCCAAGGTGCTAAGATTAATAATGGTATTGCAGACAGAAGAAACATAGGCTTCATGGGGACTCTGGTCAGGTGTGGGAGAGGAAAGGTGAGCTAGCCACACATAAATGTCATAACACCTTGTCAGTTATTTCTGATCGGTCTGTTATTAGTTTTTTTCAAGATTTATATTTTTTGTTGATTACAATACCAAACTCTCTGATGTGAAACCAAGATTTATCATTTTATTTGGTCTCAGTTGCTCTTTCTCTCTCTCTCTCTCTCATGCATAAAGTATAAAGGGATAAAAATAAGATAACAATCTTCTAACTTTAATACTACATGTTATTCAGATTTTTACTATCAACAGAAAAAAATATATAACAAAATCATTGTTTTCTTTCATCTTTGAGATTGGTTTTTAAGTGTCTTTCAATTCTTTGCAAAATGAAAACAAAATGTAGTGGATTGAGTTAAAAGCAGAAGAAGAGGAAATTTTGTTTACTGTACTGTTATTTTCTTCATCAGGGTATAGTCATAGGTACTGCAGAAAATTCAGAGTTTGGAGAAGTTTTTAAAATGATGCAGGCTGAAGAGGTGAGTTAAGTTAATTTGTTTATTGTCTGTGCATTACTACTTATCCATGTGAATTGCTGTTTTGTAAGAATAGTCAAAATGATGAATTTAAGAAAAATATAATCCAATTTCCATTTGATTAAACCGAAGCAGAATGTGTTATTAGCTTTTGACAGAATGTTAATATATATGTCCTTGAACTTTGTTATTATAACTATAGTGGCTCTAACATTTGTTAATTCTCTATTGCTGCATAGCCTCCCAAGACCCCCCTGCAGCGGAGTATGGACACCCTGGGAAAACAGCTGTCTTTCTATTCCTTTTGCATCATAGCTGTGATCATGTTGATAGGCTGGCTGCAGGGCAAGCACATGTTAGAAATGTTTACTATTGGTGTAAGGTTAGTATGGAACAAGGATTGGTGGTTACCTAGGACACTTTTAGTACAGAATCAGCATAAAAAAAATTGATGTGATGGTGGCCTTTTTCTGTAGGAATAGCACACATAAGGAATAATAAGTAAAGATATTTTCAGTCAATTTGTGCCATTCTATCATGATTTAGTTCAATTTAACACAACAGAGAATGCACAGAAATGAAGACAATGCATTATCTGCATCATAATTTGCATCCAGTAAAAAAAAGAAATCTCATCATAACTTGCAAATAATTCTCTTCTATGAAGAAAGTCTATAATCTGAATCATAAATTGCATGTGGTAAAAGATCTCATCATATCTCACTAATAATTCTCCTCATCTGTTTCCTGTGAACAGCCTGGCAGTGGCTGCCATACCAGAGGGTCTCCCTATCGTAGTGACGGTCACTCTGGCCCTGGGGGTCATGAGAATGGCCAAAAGAAAGGCCATAGTTAAGAAACTGCCCATAGTGGAGACTTTAGGCTGTGTGAACGTCATCTGTTCGGACAAGACGGGCACTCTCACCAAAAATGAGATGACGGTGACGCATATTTATACATCTGATGGACTCCATGCAGAGGTTAGTATGGCATGTTTCATGATAAGGATAACTAGGGATAAGGATAAGGATAACTTTTATAACCTAACTTATTCCATTATAACCGCTCCCACTGCCACTTTGCCTTGCTGCAGTGTGACCAGCACAGGATGGTAGCAGAGTTCCCACAATGCTTAAGATTCCTTAATGTATTGTGATTTATTAAGACCCTTAGAAAAATATCAGGCCTTCTGCAAATTCGCAGCAAATTTGCTGCATTGTTGCTGCACACTACAATTCCTTCTTGCAAACTTGCTGCAATAGGGCTGCAAATAAGCAGCAATAATTTTCTTTTTTGCAAACTCCTGCAAAATTGTTGCTGCAAACTTTTTTATTTTGCTAAGGGGGGCCAGTAGTCTGATGGTGGTAGTAGTCCATTCAGTCTGTTTCATGTCAAAGTTGGCTCTGTTGTGAACATGCCTTAACATGCCCTTTTATTAATTTTGTTTCTCACCAGGTCACAGGGGTTGGGTACAATGGCAATGGGGAAATCCGCTGCAATGGAAACCTAGTCAAAGACTACACTCATCCTTCTATTAGCAAACTCATGGAGGTAACTTTGTGAAGATGAATTTTTTCTGTACAACATCAGGAGAGAATATGTTGATGGCAAATTGTTTATACAATTTCTAAGAAAAAATCTTTTAATAGGCATTTTTTACAATAAATTGATTTGTAAATAGTATAATTTTTCAAATTATAATAGACTGTTATGTTTAACAAGTGTGGTGTTAGAAATTTGAGGGTTACTCCTATACAACTATACTTTTAGAAAGGTCGAGATGGAGAGAGTTCTACAATGAAGTTTTCAGCTTTAAATTGTTTTCTCTTTTTTCCAGGTGAGCTGCTTGTGCAATAACGCTGAGATTGAAAATAACACTTTATTGGGTCAACCCACAGAGGGAGCGCTCTTAGCGGCTGCTATGAAGGTCAGTTATGTACTCATATACAAAATTATGAAAAAATATGAAAAAGTTCAGCAACCTTGTGATTCTCTAAGATTAAATCAACACTTTTTTATTTTCCATCAGTAGCTTAATTTGAAAAGTTTTGGAATTTATTTATTTATTTATTTATTTATTTATTTATTTATTTATTTATTTATTTATTTATTTATTTATTTATTTATTTATCTAAATCTGGTGCATCTTTTTAAAGAATTTTTACTTCTTTGAAAAGAAAAATGTATTATTACACAACCTTAATGCCAGCATGAGTATTTATGCAGTTGTATACATGAGTTAAATTTCCAATTGCAGATGAACTTATACAACCTGAGAGACGGGTATGACAGGCTTCAGGAGTGGCCTTTCACCTCCGATACTAAAAAAATGGTTGTGAAATGTGTGCCAAAACAGGGACCTGTAAGTATAATAATCATAAAAACCTTTTTTTTTTCATACTTATCCCCTGTGTGACCAACTGTATATCTGTCATAAGCTTGTGTATATGTTTAACAGTCTGAGGCATTTGTGAGAGAGTAGTCTCTGTAAAAAGGCTTTACTCGGTAATATTTAATGCCCATATAAGAAAATTTGTTATCTTTTAACAGTAACTGCAGTGCACCATAAGCTTGTGTATTCACTCAATCATCACTTATAACAAGATCTGATTTGCTTTGTGTTTAGCGCCAAGAGATGTATTTTGTAAAAGGAGCACTAGAGCGTCTGCTGCAGCAATGCAAGACATACTATTCTAGGGGGGCGCCCTTGCCACTCACAGGGGCTCAGCAGCATGCTTACACATTAGAGGCCTCCAGGATGGGGGTGGCAGGGCTGAGAGGTAAGAAGACCTAGTGTTATGAACAGGTTATCATTCGAAACGATGTTTGTAAGTTGATCTAAGAAGAGGTTTTTCAGTGGATTTGCTCAATGAGCTGTAAAAAAAATACACACACTAGCACATCAGTATTTGTCTTCCAGTGTTAGCCATGGCCTATGGTCCCAGTATGGACAACCTGATGTTTGTGGGTATGGTGGGGATGATAGACCCTCCCAGGCCGGGAGTGAGGGAGTCCGTAGAGGTGCTGGTGTCCAGTGGGGTGGCCATTAAGATGGTCACTGGGGACGCTGAGGAGACTGCTGCAGCAATTGGTAAGCTGGTCTGAAGGTAGATAAAAGGTGGATAAAAATACATTCAGCATTTTCAGATATTGTTAAATAGCATATCTTAATTGAATTAAAAACATATAATTATGTGGTTTTTGCTGGCGTTTAAAAATGAGAAAAATTACTTTAAAAGTGGTGAAATTTCAAATTTTTATATTTTTGTTACAATGCCCAAATTTGCCATTTTGGCATAGTTCTTCACAATAAATTAAAAGAAAATCTGAGAGGGTCATATTCCAATGCCCCTGTGTTATTTTTCTGATTTTTACAGAGACTGGTACTTAAAAACCAGTTTCAATTTTCTTGATGTATCCATATGTCATTATTCAGTAATTTTAACTGGTAAGGACTCATAAAAATTATAACATCATTCTATCCTTTTTACCAGGAATTCTGTTGGTCACTCTGACAGTATAATCATTAGAATATGTGAACTATGACAAAGAACTAGTACATACTAGATTTTAATTATAACACTGGATAACTGATTAAACTTGGATGTAAACTAATCCTTAGAAAATTTGTGAGATGTGAATTCATCAAGCAGGTGCTTGGTTGCTATACCCCTCTAATTTCCTATGTAATATGTACCATAAAATGCTTTATGCCGATATATTTTGATTAATACAGTGTGTTATGTTATCTTCCAGGAAGCCGGCTAGGTCTCTATTCTCTAGGAGGACACACATTATCAGGGGAGCAGCTTGATCAAATGGATATATCTGAACTCCAGCGTATAATCAACAGAGTGGCCGTGTTCTACAGAGCCAGTCCCAGACATAAGCACAAAATTGTTAAAGTAAGTGTTACCATAATTGTGATGATTATAGCACTTAGTACAGTTTTACACAAATTAAAATGCACAGGCACAGACAGATGCATACACCTTCATGATTACACACATGCAAACATGCACTTAGACACACGTGCACACTGGTTCAAACTATACAGTACTTTCGCACATGTACACAGATGGAAAGAGAGACAAAGAATACTCTTGCAAATTATTTCAGACTTGTCTGTAAGTATAAATTTTGTTGTTGTTTTTATGGTTAGTGGCACAACAAGTATATATGAAGATATAAATTATTTTTTATTTAATTACAACAGAACAAATATGTATATAGATACAGACTCTTTTTTTAATTTTTCAATTGTCCAGGCCTTACAGAACAGCAAGTACATAATTTCGTAGATAAAATTTCTTCATTTTTTTTAGATTCAAATCAGCCAGGCTTTACAAAACAACAAGTATCATAATTTTGTAAATATAAATTATATTTTATTTATTTTTTATTCCTCCAGGCTTTACAGAACAACAAGTATATAGTTGGTATGACAGGGGACGGTGTGAATGATGCTGTGGCGCTGAGAAGTGCCGACATTGGCATCGCCATGGGAACAGTAGGAACAGATGTATGCAAAGAGGCGGCTGATATGATTCTGGTGGACGATGAATTCTCAACTATCATGTTAGTATTCTGAACTTCCGGAAATTTTCATTCTATTCTGCATGTTCTCTACTTTCTGAGAGTTATCAGACTGAGTGCAAAAATTAGGGAGTTTTTTTTTAGTTAGATTAAAGGTGTTGATTATTTTTTGTCAATATTTTCTTTATTTATTTAAATTTAAAAATGGATAAAATAATTAGGATTTTAAAAATCATCATCATCTTCATTTTGTCAGGTGTTCTTTCCTGAATAATCAGGGTTGGGCCTTTTCCTATGTATGATTCTCCATTCTTGTCTGTTTGTCTTCATAAATGGGAAAAAAAAAAGAAATAAATGCTGGAGCAATGCTAGAATCAAGATTTTGTTACTTTTAATGTATGTTTATGAATTTATGTTTCTTTTAGGTCTGCAATAGAGGAAGGAAAAGGCATATTTTATAATATCAGGAATTTTGTGAGATTTCAGCTCAGCACGTGAGTATTAAGCTGCACTCAGAATGAGCACTTACTTGAACCCAGATAGCTGTATTTTGGGTCACCAGATTACCAAAACACTAATACCGAGGTTTAGACATTTGGTCATTTTGGTACTTTGTATTTAGGTATAAAAGAAAAAAAGGGATACCTGTATTGCGTGATTCAGATACAAACTTGTCAAAAATCTATGATTGTTTAATAATGAAATGGGTTTTTCATAGTCTTTTGTGTGGAGGTAGCAAAAAGGTAAATCATTGCTACAGAGACAAGTATGTGTTTTAATTTGTAAAGCATGGTATTTTGACCCTTCATCAAAGGGCCTGGATCACATGACTGGAGCATATGACTGACTCTTCAATGTGAGCTCTGGAAGTTACAGTGACAGTTTAACTTTTGGAGCTCATATCCATGAGAAAGCCTTATATGATATTGTTTATTTTATATTATATAGGAGTATAGCAGCATTAACACTAATCACCCTGTCCACTGTATTTGGCCTTCCCAATCCTCTGAATGCCATGCAGATTTTGTGGATCAATATAATCATGGATGGGCCACCTGCGCAAAGGTAAGTACTGGCAGTTCCAGGATAACATGGAGTTAACAGGGCTCGACATTAGCGCCTGTCCGCCTGTCCGGGACAGGTAAAAATTCAGTTCGGACAGGTGAAGTTGCAGGGTTGGCTGTCCGACGGACAGGTTATGTTTTATGAGAAATTTGGATCAAAAATCTTTAAAAAATCATTTTTTGTTGCATACTAACGTCTTTTTGCCTCTTCCTAGACAACATTGAAAAGAGTGACCTACTTTTGGCACAAAACACATGCAGTCGCAAAACGAAGTCTGAGCAAACTTACCGCCAAATTATGAAAGTGAACACCCTCCAGAACTTCATCGGACAAAATTTATTCACATATCAGGTTCACTACTGAACATTTATTTAGTTAAAATCTACGTGCTCTAGTAATAAAGACACTTCCAAAAACAGAAACTACACAAGTAATGTGCTTGAGCCAGATTGGACTGGATGAACTGGCTATATCTAGTTCGTTGTCAAGGCAACATACTGCCTGTCAATCAAACACGTGGTATGCTATCTACTCACTATAGAAAGTGAAATCTTTGGGACTGAAGATCTTGTTGAAATGTTGTTTATTTGCCAAAATATAACCTGAAATTTTGTATGATGCTTTCTTTAATGACTCTAGCATCACCTCTGATATTTACAGTTTAAAATTTAGTGCTGAAATATGATAAATTAACATTGCTCTCATATACCAGTGTTATATTGATGTAAGGAAGAAATAAGTAATAACAAATATGAGAATCTAAATAGAAAGAAGGGGAACCTTTTTATGCTGATTTTATTTAATTCATATATTTTTAAAAAATCAAACGTGATAACCCCTTAAGAAGTTAAATTGTTGACATAAATATAAGTAAAGTATTATAAAATGAATATAAAATAATGAATAAATAAAATAATATATATAATTTTCATTGAACTTTATTCAAATATTATAAAATTTGAATATTTTTATAAAATTATTTTAACAGTACCACCTCCCCACTTCCCGCTCAGGTTTTTTTTTTTTTTTTTTTTTAGCTTTGGTTAAACTTCATGTGAATCTGTTATCAAATTGCAGACTTATAATTAGTAGACCCTGTACCCCAAATCCTAGAAGAAGCCCTGATGTTAAATATCAGACTTATATGCAAGATTAAATCTTCAGGAGTTCACAAGTATGAAAAAACAACTTTTTATCTGAACATAAATTCACTTTAAGGTGCATTTTCGGGGCTCATATGACTGAATGTTTTGGTAATATATACATTAATTTAAATGTATGACTACACGTATTAATTGACAAAGTTCAAAGGTATGAATAGAAAAAAATATTGGTTTTGTGGACAGGTTGGATTGAAAATCGGACAGGTCAAATATATGAGCACCTGTCCGAAGGACAGGTGCTCACAAAAGTTAGTGTCTAGCCCTGGTTAAGGGTGCAAAATTTGTTTGGCACTTGACAGAATGGAACACCGTAAAATGAAAGATTCCAAGAAAGAAAAATAGAAAATAAAATGGAAAAGGGGGGGGGTTTAAGGGATTTTCTTAGCTTATTAACAGATTGTATGCTGTTAAATGTAAAAGCATGAGGCAGAAAAATATGAAAGGTTTTGATGTTTAAACAAATTGTCTAGATAGTCAAATGAAAATATTTCTAGTTTTGACAAATTTTAAACTAATATGAACCACAGAAGGTTATCAGTCAGATACTGCTTTATATCAGCAATAATTGAGCTATTCCTTTTTATCTCAGTTTGGGCGTAGAACCAGTAGACCATGATGTCATCCGCCAGCCTCCGCGCCGCGTGAATGATTCCATACTGAGCCGAAAGCTGCTCTCCAACGTGGTCCTCTCTGCTTTAATCATAGTCACAGGGACATTGTGGGTGTTTTGGAGGGAGGTAAGTTTATTACATACTCAGGGGTAGATCCAGAGATATTTTATGGGTCTTCCAAATTATCTTTGTTGATCCATCCTCCGTTTTTGAACGTCTTCCGATAAAAAGAATTAGATGCCGACAATAGAAACTTGAAAAATTCTGACCATCTTCCAGAAGACCCAGAAGACGGCCTCCATCTACCCCTGATACTCTCAGTACTGTGCTAAATTTATATAACTGTGTATTAACATTAAGGGCTCATTCCCATTGAAATAATCTGGCACCATAGATCGATCCAACTCCGCGGGGACTCTGTGACTACAATCAGTTTAACAGATTAACTTGTATTCTCTTGTTTTGAACGTACTCATAAGTTTATTACATACGGTAATTACTCCATCCTTTCAATAGGGGAAATTGTGAATTTTACAGATACTGTATTTTTCAAAGTCATAATTTTTTTAAATTAGAACATTCCCATTGAGTAGAAGCAACAAAATTAAAAGCAAGCTATTCTATAGTTCTATTCTATGCAGTAGAAACCCAATTTTTTATGATTCCAAAATTATGTAACTGAAAAATTGATAATTTTTCCCCATTGAAGTGATTGAGTCATTACTGTAAGTATATATTAACAGTAAGCACTCATTCCCATTGAAACTGTCGGTCTCCATAGATCGCTCCAACTCTGCAGGAACTCAGTGAATACAATCAGTTTAACAGATTGGCATGTCTCCTCTTGTTTCAAATGTGCTCATATTATCACCAGCTTTGTTGTATTTTATCAGTATTTTATTCAGTGGAAATAGAAAACAGAGAAACGACATCTGCAACGTTTCATCAGTTTTATTTCACTTTTATTATTCAACAATTACAAATAAACTGATTGTACATCAGGTTTTAATTACATCAGGCCTTTTTGATTCATTAAGGCAGGAAATACACATTTATTTACCACATGTTGCTAAAACAGATATTTCAGCACATTGCCAACCTGAGACCAGAGATTGAAAGGCACTGAAAACTTGAACCAGCCAAGCTATTAATAACATTATCCTTTTCTGTTCAGATCAATAGCTGATAGCTTATGATTTTGTTGAAATAGATAGATTATAGTTGACAGATGCTAAGCAGTTTACCTGAACTGGTACCTTTTCAAATAATTTTTTCTAGGATAAAAACCAATGAATAGATGATGGGTTCACATAAATGTTCATGTATACATGTTTCCTATGCTTTGTATAACAAATAAATTGGGAATGATAATACAAATCACTGGTTTAGCAATTTGGAATGTAATAAAAAGACAATTTTCAAATAAAGTACAATGATAGAAAAAAATTCAATGAAAAGTCATAGTATAAAGTTTGGAATGTACTTAAAGCAATAGTAAAAGTATGATGATACAAAAGAGTTAAATCAAAAGTTATTATATACTGGTTAACTATTAAAGGATTAATCTATAGCCTTTAAAAGGCTGATATGCCATTACTTAAACTAATAAATAACATTTCATGATTCAGAATCTTTAAAAATGAATAGAGTTACATATATATGTACAAACATTTTATTAAGAAACATGATTGGATTTGATTAGTTACATATTGTGTGCAATTAATCACATATGTTATTTCTAAATGTGATTTTTAAATACAACTTGTTTGATGTTCTTGTATCAGATGCAAAGTGTGACCTGACAGCATGTTTCCCTGATTATGAAAGTGCTTTTTAAGCTGGTGGTACTTAAGCTGAAGGTAGCCTATGCCCCTCTGAACTTCAAGTTGTAGACTAGCTGCGTTTGAAAAATCATGTAGGTTAATGTTTTTCCAACAGTGCCTTAGTTTTGTTAGAATTTCTACAGCTTTTCTATAAACAAGGCAGATGACAAAGTGGTGGTTGGAATCTATAACTTTCCCCATTTTCTTCACCTCTACAGGGCTAGAACCAATATTTTAGAGAAGCTAGTTTGACTATTTGTAACCCCACTGCCAACACCACAAAGTCTCTTTTGCCTCCTGAAATATCTCTTGTTATCTTATTCATTTTTCAATTATAGGGAGTTTTTATTCTTCAAAAGTGTACAATTCATATCCCAGACCTCAGTTAGGGAGGGTACAAACCTGCACCTGCATATGAGTTAATATTGTTTGGCATCAGGCACTTTATCTCTCAAACCCCACCACAAATCTACACTCAAATTCTCTTGGACGCTTTCTGGTAGTAGCATTGATCATGAAGAAGAACTCCGATCTTCATTAGGCAAGCTGGAGTCTGAGGCCTCGCTAGGTCCAGTTGATATGGGCAAAACTTGATCAGAACCAGAGTTCACCATGTAAGTAGGATTGGCAACTGCACCTTTGGTCTTAGAATCACTAGGCACAGCAGGAAGAGATGTGGTACAAACACTGTTGCTCTCTAAGGCAGGTTCTACTAAGTTATCACCATTTGAAAGGGCACTGTTACTCCCAGGGTTATTTTGGGCACCAAGCAAGATGGCTTCTGAGTAGGAAGGAGGTGGTTTTTGAACTGGTTCGAGATAAGCTGTACTGCTCAGTGTGGGTCTGTTTGAAATTATACCGCTGGAATTGGTTTCTTCTGGTGGCACTTGTAACTGTGGTTGGGATGGATTTTTCTCTACTGTGTTTTCATGAGGTGGGATTGCATTGCTATATATTGGAGCTGCACTGTCATATACAGGAGCTGCAGTGTCATATATTGGAGCCGTGCTATCATATGGTATCGAATCATACACATTTTCCTGATGGGTTGAATTGCTATTGGCTCCAATGGCAGCATGGCCATTTGGGTTCTTCCCATTGGCAGGGTTTAGAGTGGTGTATCCTGGATCAGTTGCGATCTCGTTGTAAGTTGTATTTTGGTTATTGTTGCTGTGTAGAGCCATGTATGGCTTTGGGGCTTCCAGCTCTATGTGGGCCAGTGGTGGCCTCTTTCTCCTGGAATAAGAATGAACATCTGCATTAGCTTCCAAATTTGATTGACTTTCTAAAAACATATTGTTAAAGGAGGTAGATTTCTTTAATGTAAATTGCATAGAATATGAAATAATTTATTTGATATGATATTGATCAGCAAATCATTAAATGAGAAATTTTGAAGAAAGATTCCATAGCAAAAATCATAAATACAATCTCTCTCTCTCTCTCTCTCTCACACACGACAGAGATTAGTCGGTGTACTGAGTTTATACAGTGTATCAATGTATACATTACCTCCTGCACCACACAATGACAATTATGACACTTGCAACAATCAGCAACAATAGCAGCACTGGAACAATTGTGCTCACCAGTAGAACTGAAAATACAGAACAACCATTACAGTTAGTGCATAGTTCATCATACAATTATATGGTATAAATGCAAATTAAAAACTTCCATATTGTTAACCTAAGGCCAACCTGGATGTTGGCCTTCATTAGACTGATGTGAGCAATGTTGACACTCACTGACCATGAGGTGGTATAGCAGCGAGGACCCTCTTATAAATGTCAGGTAGATCGACCCCCCTCTCCCCCTGTTCCTATTCATGGGGGGCTGGTGACAGTGGCTTGTGTTTGATAATTTTCATTTATGATCCAACTACCAAGCTAATGAACATTTTTGGTAGTTTCTCAAACAGTTTATATATCAGAAAGATTTCATGGTTCAAAATATTCAAAGCTAACAGGATCACTATAGTGCGAACTGTTGAAATAAAAGACACAGCTACAAGAAATGGGACAAGTTTCATACATTTGACCAATCAAAGTTCATAGCACATGTCTGTGGCATTGATGAAAAAATCAAATCAAAAAATGACATGCAAAAGGTGTCCATACAAGATTATGAAAACCCTGGTTCCCTTACTTGTTTGTTGTTGATTTTGAGTGCTAGCACTGGCACTGGCATTGGTCTTGACCCCATGAACTGTGGGGTCCATTGTGGGAGTTGACCTTTCTGTCACCGTGGGAGTTGATCGTGTGGCCTCAGGTGTTAATTCATGCAGTGGTGTCTGCAGTGTTACACCAGTGGTGCCAGGAGTAACTGGACTGCTGGCTGTGGTTGTGGTTGTGCTGATTGTGCTAGGTGTGCTGGTGGTTGTGCTTGTAATTGTGCTGCTGGTTGTGCTGGGGGTGGTTGTGCTGGTTGTTGAAGCAGAGGGCAGAAAAATTGGTCTGTCCACTCTGTGACATCTCATATCCAGGACTGCTGTTTCACCACTAGGTGACAGAGCTGTAGTGAAAAAAGATAGAAAAAAAGATAAGAAAAAAGTAGAATTAGTATGATATTTAATGCATTTTATTGTTTTGTTTTGGCCTTCATTGTGTTTCTTATACCTGGTTCATTTAATTAGACTGCACACACCAGTCAAATTTTTAAAAATATAATTTTCATAATTGAAAAATAGATAAGTGATTGAAATATCTCCATTCAATCATATAACCCAGATAATTAAATTGAACCTGATATGAACAAGACTATAGGTACAGACTATGCTTCAGAAAAAAAAAAAATACCAACTTCATTTAAAGTCAATGATTACCTTCAGCAGTAATCCAGAACCCAGGGAAGTTGATATAGCCATCACTATGAAACACCATAAGCAGGCTGTTATTACCACTTATGAATGTGCGTTCATGGTATTCATGTCCGCACACACGCCTGGCCTCTCCATACGGGGGACTCTGCTGCAATACGAACCAGTCGTATTCACAATTCTGGAGGCCGATTTCTAAGTTGAAGTAATGGACAACTGCCCGTATGGGATTGCTGGTTCGTGTCCGTAGCTCGCACATGCAGGACGTGTTGCTAGGGTAGTGTTGCGGGTAGTTCGGACTGGTGATTTCTCTGGGCAAGGGGAGAGGTTCGCCCATGACTGGCTGAGATGTGGAACCAAATGTGTTGCCACATATATCAGAATATTCAGTTCCTATATCAAGATGAAAAGCAAATTGAGAAAAATATTTTGCATATTGTGAGGGCAGGACTGGCCTATCTTTCAATTGATGGTTATTATTGAGTACATGTTTGGATGAACTAGAATTGATTTTATGACAACATATGTAATGACATTCTCAAAAATGATCTATTAGTCTAATCAGTTTTACAAGCATCATCTAAATTATTTAGTAGTCAAGACATGTATTGCACTTGTCTGTGCTCTTAAAGGAAAGTCATATTTGTAGCTATAGCAAGTCATGCATGTGCGCATACAAACGCACAGACATATTAAGAGAGGGAGAGAGAGACAGAGAGAGAGGGCGCCAACCTGGTGCCAATGTTGGTATACTGGGTGGTGCCAGTGTTGGGACAGTGGTGGTTGTGTCGGAAGGCAAGCTGGCTTTGCACTGAAGGTTGATTGCAGCAGACGACAGGAAGTCATCAGGGGGCAGATCTAAAAACAAGACCACTCATTAGCAAAATGTCATGTAAATATCAACTGATAATAAAAATATTTCTTCAATAAAAATAAATTCTAGATATTTATGAGTTTTTAATACACTGCTGATGCATGTTTGATTTAACATCTAGCAACCAAATAATGAAAAATAAAAATACAAGCATGTGTATAGGAAAAATGACCCCCTCTATTTGTGAGAAATGCCTGCCATTGTGTACACAATACTGATTTTCATACACCAAAAAATGTTTACGCTAGTCAATTTATGAACATCAATTTGATAACTTTTTACTTACCCTTGATTATTAGTAAAAACCCAAACTGCTGAACAGAAGAATCGGAAGTAAACCTTATGGCCATGGTCTCATTTTGGCTGACCATCTTGTAACCCGACATGACGCCCTCTGCGCAGAACCTCTGAGCGAAGCGCATGCCAGGGGGGTCGGGACGGATCTCCAGCATGTCAAACTCGCACTGACTGGCAGCTTCGATGGAGATGTAGATCAGCTCCATCTCTATCCTGTGACTGGCGACCATGTTGGTCAGCTGACAAGAGCAGTTGGCACTGTGCGGGTACTCTGCTGGGTAGGCAGGGCTACTCAGGTAGAATTGATTGATGTCATTCGACTCGGGACTCATCGTTAAAGTGGCATTTTGACACAGGTTGATTACTGTAGCTGGAAAATAGGAAATGTATCAAAATGGTGCAATGGGCTTTTTGAACGAGATTGATCACCAAAACTGGAAAAAAATTAATGAATAGTGTATGATTAACATTAGCTTTTGTTTTGTTTTTACAGCTGAATGTTCAGAATGAATTATAAAATGATGTTGTCTGAAAAATTATGGATTTTGTATTAATGGATTTAGTAATATTTATATATCTTTGCCGGCTTTGCTTAGGTAAGATTTATTATACTGAAAGCCAGTTAGATATCATTCATATTGAACAAATGTGAAGAAATCAATTGATTACCTCAAAAGTATGCCCAGTAATGACACAGATTGAATATTTCCCCTAGCAGTACTTCATTGAATAAAGTAATTTCTCAATATATTTGAACAAAATTTATTGGTTATAGTTCTCAAATAATGTCAGATTAGAGACAAAAATAGCTGAAATAAATAGCTGATTTGAAAGTTCTAAAATTGAGGTGATTTAGGTGTATGTAAGAAAGTTTTTATATAGTCACATCTTGAAAAAATGAAAATTGCAGTAATGTGTTGAAATTTGTGAGCAATTACAGTATTATTTAGGTAAAATTGACTTACCAGTGGATGGCGGAGTGACAGGGCTTGGCAGGGGAACCTCTGTCTCAATTGTTGGCGGTGTCTGCGTTAGGCAGGAAATAGAAACACTGTCCAGGAGTCCCTGGGCCGTGACACCGGCAATTCTTAACATAAAACCTTTCTGTTCTACTGATTCATCTGATATGAAAGTGATACTGATGATGTCACTATCCAAAGTGCCGCCTTCTCCATATTTCCCTCGGCCGCAGTAGTCTACATAGTCGCCACTTGTGGGGTTGTAATACACTAATTTGTCATATTCGCACCCATTGTTACCCACCTGGAATAGGACAACATAGAGCTGAAGCCTTTAGGTTTTAATAACAAAACTAACTTGAACTTGAGGTTGTCTCTTATTAAACAAACTGAAACCTCATCAAATGTAAGACAGGGAAATGATTGAAAATTGAATTCTACTCAAAGTTAAGGCAAAAAGCTGATAAAATGACCGCAAAAATACATGTGAACGAACCATTCATTTTCTTAAGCCAGAACTACACAAATGCCCAACATTTGGCAGTAATATAAAATATTCCACTAGCAAGCTTGATATATTATCAAAAGTATCACCTCGATATCAAAATCCAGCACCCTGATATTGATGGAACTCTGTGGCTGTGTAGTGATATTACAGGTAGAGTAACTTCTGCTAGGGTAGTGTGCGGGATACAGGGGACTGGACAGGTAGATGTACCCCAGGATGTCTGGCCCTGTAGACACCACTTGACTGGTGTCTATGCTGTGGATATCTGAGACTGAGAGTGGAGATTTTTTCTTTAACATCTTTATTCTTAAACAATTTGAATACAAAGTATAGCATGTAATAAAAAGTGGCATATCGTGGAGATGCCATTATGTAGTGCTGAGCTGCGATTAGTAGCACTGAGTAAAGCATCTAAGAGATCTTGAATTTTGGTATAAGGTCCACTTTTTCAGAATAAAAAACCCCATTTTGAAATTGTTGGCTGTGGGCCTGATTTCAATTTTATTTTTAATAAGTTTGAGACTCCTGTCAGCAGCTTACCTGCTATGCACTCATACTCCACAGTGATATAGTTAGTGAAGCTGTTGCAACTTTCAATGTACTGTGCAGAGCCAGGGTCTTCGGTACAATTCTGATGTCCTGAACATCTATGGATGAAATACTGGACACCAGTGGTGATGGTGCATGAGTCGACAGGGTCATAGAAACACCTGGCAAGACGAGATAAAGGAGATTATTTCAGTGAACCACATGATATACATATATAGTGAAAACTGTGGGTTGATTTCATTGTGCTTTGTGTATATAGAACAAGAAATCAAAAAAGCGTCTATTTTTTTTTTTCCTATCACAGTTACAGTTGCAGTCTTTGTACTTGTCTCAGTACTGGCTCCTGCCGTTTCTCTTGCCTGATCAGTTTATACCAAGACAAGTCGCAGTATGATATTGCATGTCTACTACACTAGCATATACCAAGAAGAGATTAATAATACCATTTCTCCTGAATTGCTAGAATAGGAAGAGAGGATCTTTTTTATGCTTATGCCAAATAAAGATAGAACTTGAGCATGTTTTATGAAGCTTTTATGAATTTTGTTTGTGTTCGTGTGATATCTGTTTGAGATGCACATCATATTGCAAGCACACCAAGGGCAATCGTGACTTTTTGTATTTCCTCTGAAGCTTTACAATGCATTCATTGCAAAGAATAATAATGATAATAATATGTCATACACTGCACATCATTCTGTAATATTGATTTTGTTTTTTTCCCAAAACACACATTATTAAGCAAGTCATCATTTGCTTTGTTATACATTTAGGATTGGATGCTAACATAATGATCATACTCCATTAGTTATTTTGTGTTTTGGGGACTTACTGTAAATAATTGAAATATATATATTTCAAAAAACAACAACAACAACAACAAAAAAAATGAATCCAGCAGTGGCTTCTTTTGTAGTAGTAGTAGCTACAGTGTAATATGCAGTTTCAAAATGATGAGCAGTTCATTTGCATGGAATTTTATTGATAATGACATGGCAGAGAGGAGCTCATGTTTACTTCTGTACTCTATAGATATAGATTTATTTCAAGAACCTACTGCCGCACATGGGCAGCTGTTTGGTTTTCCCACAACCGTGAAATAATATTTAGTGTTGCATTTTCAACAGGTTTAAGTAAGAGCTGTTTCGGATTTGAGTATTGTTGCAAGGCAGTCTCTCAGATATATCCTGTCTGGGGTTGTAGTATTGTTAGAAAAATAAGCAGGGAATTTTGTTGTGGATATATGATTAGGATGTATGGAGATCAATCCAAATCAAAATCCTGTTGGTCTTTTTTAATTATTTACTGTTGGTCTATAATTACTGAAGAGTTGTTTAAAAGTGAATTAGTTCTAAAGAGACTTGATTATTTTTTACCAGTGAAACATGTTATTTCAACCCTTCTTTAAAAGGGCTTGATCACATACATGACTGACTAATCAATTTCAGCTTCGATGAAAGACACATTACGAAATACTGGAAAATCATCTAGGTCTTTGTTGTAATGCTTTAAACTAAAACAAATGCCAAGATAAGTCTGATGTGAACTTGGGGATAGGATTATTGGATGTTATGAAGAGTAAGTGTTGACATGAATCTCAAATAAATGTTTGGTAATAGAATTTGGATTTGGCATCCTTGAATGCTGATTTGATTTTATATGCCTGTTTAATGCAAAATGTTCTTCTCTCATTCTCTCTCTCTCTCTCTCTCATCAGATTGAATTATCCTGTCACAGTCATGACATTGCATTTTAAGTGTGATATTATTTGAAAAAAGTGGCTAATTTACACAATTTTAGTTTGCATTACACACAGTTGAGGTTGGGCAAGACTGAGAAGCTTCTGTCAGCACATTTACTCACTGTTTTTCTAAGAATGTTCAGTGATGGGAAAGTGAATATTACTATTTCATGCCAGTTTTTTCACACTGCTGACTAACTGTAAATGATGCATTCAATTCTAAATATGTCAAAAACAACTGCTCTGCATCTTTTTTTTGTTAGGGGGAATGTTTTCAAACAGTGCCTTGTTAGTTATCATATACTAAATCATTGATAGAATATTCATGGAAAGGTGATAATACATAGTTTCTGTTGTTTATTAATGTACTAGTCTATGTATAAATATATTGGTTTCACTTGATAGATCAACATTAGATGGGGATACACTTGTTAAACACTAAGTATTGTTGAAAAAGGGGGAAAAAATTAAATGTCAGTGAATTTTTTTGGTTTCATTATCATGTTGTTCATGGTTTTAGTCTTTTAGAAATATACAATGTCATATTTGAGAAACTATATTTTGTATTGTGTCACACGTTGACATGTAAATCCCTTGGAAAGCAACATATGGTTTTTGCTGAAATAGATGCTCAATCAACTGACTCATACATACAGCACATATTCCCAGTTGGCTCCAATGTTTCTGAGCATTCACTTCCAGATTGCCCTCCAGAGTGAAGGGTGATGAGAATGTAAACTGTAGCTTACTCTGACAGCTGAGTGCTTTTGTATTTGTACGGTAATGACTCGATATTTTCAATGGGGAAAAAGTGTGAATTTTACAGATGTTGTATTTTTTTCAAGTCATTAATTCTTAAAGTTAGAATATTCCTTTTGAGTGATAGCACCAAAACTGATAAACAGGCTACCGTATAGTTCTATTGTATACAGAAAAAACACTACATAATTATGCTAACAGAAATATATTTTTAATGATTTTGAAATTATATATCTGAAAAATTGTTCGTTTTTCCTCATTGAAAAGGTACAGTCATTACGGTAACTGTATTTGTCCGTTTCACCAACCCTTTTATTGACTGCAGTAACAACTTCTCGTTTAGAAGTCCCTTTGCTAAATTCCTTTTGAATTGGAGCCATGATCATGAATAAATTGTTATTGCAATAGTAAAATTCAAGATGAGAACTGCATGTGAGTAATTTGCAAATGGGCAGTTCCAGCAAATGTATGTAAATAAGTTGATATTTTTAGTTAATTATTTCATTTAATTAATGAGGTATTGGATACTTAAAGCTGTAGCAGAAGAAGAATTTCTGAACAATAGTGATTAATTAAAGAATGTATAGTTTTATATAAATGAAAATACCTTTAAATAATTACAATTTTTAATTAAAAGCAATCTTGGTAACCTTCCTGCATTGGTCTATTGTGTGTACATTCCTTCCTTTGGTCAATTCATGGATTGTTTTTGCTTGAGTCTTTTCTTTGGTTGATCATTAACCAAATCACAATTAATTTGTGTCAAATCTTAATTATGATGAACACTTACCTTCAAGTTGAATTACAGTTAAATATATCTGTGAGCAAAGAAAACAGAAGGTGGTTTAGAAAGCACTTTAGGCTCATAGATAAATATACCTTAATTTGTTTTCACCCTGGAGTTTTGGTTTTTGAATCACAATAATTGCAGCTTTTTGGGGTGGTATTACTCAAAGGGTGTTACGATTCCATCCAATTTTAATTCTGAAAATTGTTTGAAAATTGTCTTTGTTGTCTGTGAATTTAGATTTGAAAGAAAAGATAATTGCTATAATCAAGAATACATTTAACGTTTATGAAAAGTTGTTACCTTTTTTCTGTAAAAAAAAAAAAAAAAACACCTGGGGGAATGATGATTGTGAGACACCAAAACTTCTCATTGATACTTGTAAATTATTTTAAAAACTTTTTTGAAGAAACTATTATTGTAACTTTGGGTGCATAACACACTTGTTTGACAAAACTATTATTGTAATTTTGGTTGCATAACAAACTTGTTTGAAGAAACTGTTATTGTAATTTTGTTATTATTGTAATTTTGGGTTCATGACACAGTTGTTTGAAAAAAAAAACATTATTGTAATTTTGGTTGCATAAACAAACTTGTTTGATGAAACTTTTACGGTAATTTTGGGTGAATGACAATTGTTTGCCGAAACTACGGCCGTATTATTGTAAGTTTAGGTGCATAACACACTTAAAATTCCTTTGTAAAAGTTGGAACAGGCATTAAGTTAAATCCAGGGGCGGACGGACGCCATCTTCTGGGTCTTCCCGAAAATTTCCATTGACGGGCATCTAATTTTTTCTGCTGAAGATGGTCAATAATGGAAGATGGATCAACCAACTTTAAGATAATTTGGAAAACTGTCAGGAGATATCGCTAGATCCAACCCTGAAATCCTATTGTTATAAGCCGCCTTACCTCCCTGTTTCTGTGCTCTTTCCCTTTGTCACCTTGACAACCCGTATCACCGTGCCAACAGAGCAGTGGAGGTGGAGCTGTGAGGGCCCAGTGGTTGAGCTGATCTGGGCTATCTGGCTTGCCAGCTCCACACAAGTGCTTCCTATGAATACTGGGCCTAGAGAAATAGCAAAGCACAGGAGTTGAATATTTTGGCCTTATTTTTGTCTTTTAAAAAAAGCTCAATAGTTTTCCCTTAAAAAGTTTTCTTTTTTTCCATAGACTTTAATATGAACAAAGTCAACTAGAAGCTAGGATTATTTTATTATATACATATACATCAGTCATTAATTGTATGTCATTGTCATGAGAGATGAGGTTCATAGTTACTGGTTTTATAATTTACTTTAATTTGTGCTCTTTGGAGTTGAATAAAACCACTACGACTAATACATGTAGTCGCCCCTCTTGGCTGATGGTGTCAGTAAGTACATTCAGAAATCAAACAATCAGTTCTACATTATAAAAGGGTGCAAATTGTCCATTTTACATGATAAAGGTGTGTTAAAAAGATCATCAGTATCATAGTCTGATAGTGACAGACTGTCACTTAAAGGAAGATCAGATCTTAATGAGCTGTGAACCATGCAAAAAAGGTAGAAATGTTGATTCAAGGCAGTCCAGGGATGAATTAGTTTGATTTTCACAATATTGACAACATCTTCATGTTAGATGGCAATATAGATGTTGCATATTTTCACAAAATTCAGGAATTGAGAAATAATTCTATTTCCTTAATGATGTGTTGCTTACATTTAAAATAACTTAGTTTTTATCTCCTATGAAGGAAGTTTGAGTGTTATGTTTTTGATCAACTAGAATAATACTTCTATGGAAAGTGAATAATATGATGCACCAATAAGTTAATGAACATTTTATATCAGTTTGAAAATAGGCATGAGGGAATGGGAAACACATGCTTTCCAGCCACGTCCCATTATATCCTTTGCCCTGTAATTGCAGCAGTAGTTGTATTGATTTTATATTTGCCTTCATGGAAATTGACATTTAACATGTGATGTCTTTATGAGAATGATAATTAATATGCATTGACTGTATTGGAACTGTGCACAGAGACATGGTGAAGAATCTTCACTTTCAATATGTTTACATTTGAAAATTTGACTGAAAGAATTAGAAAATTTTTAAAAATTGGGAAAAAAGTTTTTTAGATGGCATTCTTTTATTACATCTCTCATATTACTACAATTTTTAAATGTTGTGTAGAACTGTGAGAAGATTCCTGTATAACCTGTTGGCATTTCCTTAATTTCCAGTTAGTCTTTAATATGCGGTATTTCAATATAAGAGTAATCCAAATCCATTGTATGTGTGCCCTTTGGTAAGTTTCAGCTTTGCTTCATAATGATAAAATTTAAAACTTCAGTTTCTACACCATACTCTGAATGCGTACCTGAGAGCTTGGGACTTCATCAGTCACACAGAGGGTCTCAGGTACACTTTCAGATTATTGAGTAGAAATTGAACATTTTAAAAATTCATCATTATGAATAACACTACTACACAGAATATTCAGCTTTGCATGTTTTTCCATCATTGAACACAGGCTTGGTGTATGTGAAGATGATTGTGGTAGGCCTGTTATTGTTAAGTAGCGGTCAGTTATATCAGTTACGCTGTCATCTCACAGACAGGTAACAAATGGTCCTAAGGTATGTGTTTGTGGTTCTCCACAGCAGGTGATCTGAGGGATTTTCTTACAGGTGTGTTATTTTCACAGTTGGACAGAACAATACATCGTAAAGCTCAGGGTAGCTCTGCCTGAAGTCTCAACTTTAAAGTGTGTTGCAATTCCTGGCTGGGTTGTCAAGTGTCCCTTACTAAACACTGACTTACTAGTTCATATATTTTCTTTAAGTCCAGGGTTGTCGCTAAGCTCTCTGCATTTACGTACATTGAGTGCATTTTTAACCTCTTTTGCTATTGTTTTTACATTATTTCCCTTTTCTTTATAACATAAAATAAATAACTTTTAAAAATGATAAAAAAAATAGGGTAAGAGGGGAAAGAGGAAGTCACAGTGGCTGAAAAAAATGTCACTGTAGTTCTTTGCATGCAACGAATAATGATTATCATAATAATTCAGGTAGTAAACAAAGAAGGATCCTCCAATGCCCCCATAACATCCGGGATTTGAGACAAAGGCAGCTGTGGCGGTCTTCCTATTGTATACCCACCAGGAGTGAGAGTGTTTAAAATGCACTAATTTTCTGTTTGTACTAGCCTGTGAAGAAAATAAAGTCCCATTAGCCTAGGCAAACAGTATTGAACCAGGCACGTCCCCAGTTCCGTTCCTGTAGTTATCATGTTAACACAGGTGGCTGCAAGGATGCTCAGGACATAATATTGCAGGCTGACTCTATGAATTTTTAGACAAATATTTAGATGAGTTAATTTTGCTTAAGTAAGTTTACTTTGGCCTGAAAACTTTTCAGATATTCATTTTTTAAGCAGTGGTTTAGTTACAAATGTGGGGCGAGCAACAATGCATTGTTTAAAGCAGGTGCATGTATTTGACATTCCAATGGGACTTATTACAGGTAATTATTATAATTGTGTGTTGTTTCCATGACAGGTGTTCTTTTCAAATGAGGTGAGAATTTTAACCCTTCCAGAGGATTTCCTCCTAAATATGTGGAAAAGAAAATTGTCAGTGTTTGTGGAGGATTGGTGTTTTCATCATCAGTCTCTCTCTCTCTCTTGGTCTTGCTCTCTCTCTTGGTCTCTCTCTTTGTCAAATTTTGTTTTCCCATCTTTACATCAGAACAATTTCTAGGCAAGCTGGCCTAAAAATTTAATATAAACAATCATATGCGAAAAAAAGCATTGTATTTCACCTTACACGTTATCATGCATACTTAAAGGTCATCATTTTGTGCAGCAATAGGCAAATCATAGAATTCAGTTTGTATCAGTCATGCATTAAAGAATTGATGTTGTCTGAAAACAAGATGATTTGAAGTTAGTGGGTAAAAAATAAGTTCATATAATTTCAGTGTTTTTATTTCCATTTTCCCTTTATTTTGATTCATTTGCAACAAAAGTACAATTGCCTTAGTTTTATAATTTAGCTTTTTTTTTTGCATCATTGGCTTTAAAAGAGAAGTTTTGTTTTGATTTCCCTTCCCCAAATGCATTTAGTAGTGATTTATCATACAAGTCTTATGATTTGTTTTAAAATATTGTTAAAAACAATCAAACAAGTTTAAGAATAATAGATGTTCTGCTAAAAAAGCACATCTTGCTTAAAAGCATTGGAGAACCCATGGCTAAAAAAAGGGGGGGGTAGAGAAGTGGAGAAAGACATAGTTTTAGAATTATATAAAAAAAATTGGAGGTTGGGTGGAAGGAGGGATGGATAGAGGGGCACATGGCCCAGTACCACCTGGGCTGACTAATGAAGAGGTCACAGTGCCAAGTACAGTGGTCCTTTCTTTAAATAAATGCTGAAGAGGGTATAGTCATCACAGTTTGTTTGTGTACTGAGGAGAGAGTGCAGCATGGCCTGATATGTCTGCTGCTAGGAGAGAAAGCATTTGTTTTAGCAGCTGACACTGGGTATATCGATAGCAGTGATGTCACCACTGGACAAGCAAAGCAAAGTAATGGCAGTCTCTGACTTATGTTGGAAAATGTTGTCATATGCAAATATCTCTGACCTGGTGACTTTAACTGGACTTTTAAGACCTTAAAGCTCTGTTGATGACTATATGCATGTACTAGTATGGTACTAGTGCACTGTTACCAAGCAGTTTTCCTTGGACAATGTCATGCTAATTGCCGTTTGTTCTGTAATTGGATTCCATGCCATGGCTCGACTTCTAACTCATTTGTGTTAAATGATATGGAGGATGTTGTCATACTTGGTAGTGTTACTTCTTTTTGTGTTTAAATGCCAACTTTTAATTAGGATTCCTTTTCCATAAACGCCATCTATGTAGATTGATCTAACTCTGCGAGGATTCAAGCTGAGTTCAATAAGCCATCTTTAAGTTTATTATAAGTGGCTTTCTTCATCTTCTCTACTTTAATTCTGTTTTAAAATATCAGAAGAAAGATGTAGACCTGTCAGTATTATTTATTTATTTATTTATTTATTTATTTATTTATCCCTCTGTCCTTTTGTCCATCTATCCTCCTTTTCATCTTTTTGTCTCTGTCTGTCTGTCTTTCTGCCTGAATTTATTTTTAGACAAAATACTTTTTTCTTGACATTTTGTCATGAATGGACATCATTTCTCATTATGGATAATCTCCTGATGTTTTTCACGTACTGTCAACATGACAGATCACGATAGATGTCTGATTATATGTGTACTTGCAAAGGAATTACTCATCTGAAACTTCACTGTCACGAGCACAGCCAAAGCACTGAAAGACTTACTATAGTGGAACACCCTCATTGTGTCCATGTTTATTGTTAAAACACAGAAAACTGTGTATTACTGCTATATTTTATAATTTATTTGTTGTCTTGTTTACAATTTTATTTGGGGGGGGGGGTTATTCAGGGTGTGTTTCAATGTTATCTCGTTAACTGATGTTTGTGTTATTTGCTCACTGTTTCATTTGTGCACTAAATTAATTTGTGCATTTAAAAAGGAGATTTTACAAATGAACCCAGTAATGAGAAGTCATTAGCTAACGAAGGCATTGTTCAACAGGCCCCTTGTGGGCCTCGATACAAAAGTAATGTTCTTGGAAATTTAATGGGCAGTCCCTGGCGTTAACACTAGCCCCATGCCAAATTACAGTAGAATTAAAGACAAGTTGATTTAATTACATAAATATGTTCAGTAAATGGCCATTGTTGACCAGTAGCTTGCAAGACCCTGTTGTCCACAAAGGGCCAAGAGGCTAAAGAGGTTTGGCACAGATTGTATGGGGGATGGGGCGTGGGCAAAACATTTCCAAACTTGACTAAAGAAAAAATGTCGGTCAAATTAATCATTGATTTATATTAAACTTTTTATTTTGGATAAAATACTTCCACCAATTTAGTTGAAAGAAATTTAATCCGAGAAATGACCCAGGATCTTTGGATACGTACCTATTGCTTCCACAACATTGTTTCCCCCTGATGATATCTGGGCATATGTTGTCTGGTGGAGATAGGCAATCAACAGCACTGCCAACACAGACATCATAGTTCTATTCCAATCAGTAAAAAAGATGATGGTTTATAGATCACAGTGGTACAGTATGGAATCCTATTGTGTTTTCAGTTCCATGAGGTTTTGGTCTTCCTGGTTTATCTATTTAAGCGGTTGCTCTCCAAGGGGAGTATCAGAATAGCTGAGCATACAGACTTGCACGATCTCTGTTCTTCCTCCTGTCTCCCAGTGTGAGAAAAAAGAAAGAAATGTAGAAATAGCTTTCTGTGTTTTGTATGCTATTCAAATTCAGTATCATCCAAAATATTCACTGACAATTCAGGCTTTCGGAATCGTGAGCTGACGAGCAGTTTGTTGCAAGTGAGAATGAATTGGTACCTGGTCTTATTGAGTGTTGCTGGTGCTGATAGTGCCTAACCTTACAATGACAGAATCCGTTCTGTTGCCTACAACTTGGTTCCCTTCCCATGTGGAGAGATGGTGGTAAAAACCATACAGTTGGCTCCCGTGGAAGGTGATATACCAGCCTCTATCCCCAGCTCCTGACCTAAGAATTGAATTTCACTGGTGGAGATTTAGCCGCTGAAATACAGTATCTCCACTCCCATAAGTCCGTCATTGTATTGATTGTCTCTGCGTGTGTGTTAAGTGCAGTGTGTAGAGCACCAGGGCCTTGGATTTAGAGATATTGGTTTTCAGTCCAGTAGAAAGCTTCAGGTTCCTCCTACCATGAGTCAGCCTTCCTATTGGCTGCCCTATTGTTGGTATCTCCTCTTTCACTATTCACTCCAAGCCATCCGGAAAGGCAACATGATTACCTGGTCTATTGATATAAAGCAAGACAGCTAAGTAGCTCGCTTGTCCGTTATATAATCCCCAGCTGAATGGCAGAAGACCGATTGGCGGCTTTCATAAAAGAGTCATGACGAGTCTCGGTCAGGTTGTGATTGTCAAACTGGCCCATTCAGGTATGAAACAGGGGTGACTGGTTTGTTTACACGTTCTCTGAACGCGTGGAATTTGTGCACTATGGGTGCCTGGTACCAAAAGACCCCCTGCCAATTGATTGGCCAGCGTGACCTATGGGGCCGAGGCCCATTGTTGCCAGTTGAATTCCCCCTCTGCGATTTTTGACATTAATTATTTGATAATTAACTCCGGCTGAGCCTGCAGTAGAATTTTTGTATGCTTGGAGTACCAACACAGCCTCAGTGGGATAACTGATAAATGACTTAAATTATCATGCATAATATACAATCATGCTTTACTCCTTGCAGTACTTTCCTAGTATTGATTTATTTATTTATTTATTTATTTATTTATTTATTTATTTATTTATTTATTTATTTATTTGACCTACTTATGCTTCAAAACATTATTTATAATAAATTATATATGACATGTTTGTATATCAGTGTGTACTGTACATTAACATTTGGCACAAACTATGCATTAGCTGTAAATATATATTTGACATACAAATAGATTTCAGTTTGTAGGGGAAATTTCATCACAGGAGAAATTTGTTCTTTACAAGCCTGGTGAATTTATTTTAGACAGAGCAGAACAAAATCAACTTCGAAGAATAACTAAACATAAATTAAAGGTAATTTTGGAGCCATTTAAACACCTCCCTCCTGCCTGAAATATATAATATTCTCTTTGTCTGCCTCATGATGGATGGGATAATGATTCCAGCATTCATCCTTAAGGGTTGAACTTTTCCCTCATTTCTCCCTAAAGGAGAATTCAAAATTGTCAGTTCACAGTTAAGATATTAGTGTTAGTTGTGCAGGGGACATTGTGATGTCTTAATCTCAAGGTGGCAGTAAAATTATGATGTTAAGCAGGTACATACCTTGAAATAGAAGTGATAATATTATGTAAAAACGAAAGGGTTCAAGCCAGGATAATGCTTTTGTATGTACTTAAGCTGCATTTATATTTACTAAAGCTGCATTTGACTTTTTTACTGTTTCTGTAAAATGGTAAAAATAAGAAATTTGATGATTTAATGTGTAATATCATGATGAGTTATATAAGAAATTTAGTCCATTCACAATGGTTTGATTTTCAATCTCTTGACTTTTTTTCATTCATGTTGTCTGACAAAAATTCCTTTTTACCATTACAGATTAAAAAAATGTCCCACTATTTCACTGTTTTTGTCAAGTAGAAGTAAAGCATTTACCACTGGGAGATTCAATTTACTGAACAGTTTTTAAAATTAATAAATACTGTCAGGTGCAAGTTTTTTATTCTAAATCTTTATTCCAAAATGTAGCAAATGTTTTTCTCACCATCATGTCAATGATTGATTGACCAAGGCTTTGTGAAAATGACCACTTACCAGTTAGCTAGAAAATACCAATATTTACTGTGATACATCATGTGCACTATACAAAAGGAAACACAATAGCCTGGCAAAAAGAATAAAACTTTGTGGCTGTGACTAGTAGGCTAGTGGGTATTGCTATCACTCAAGTACATAAATATGGATTGCAAAAGGAATCTGAGTACACAGCACAGATCATGTAAGGCCATGTTTACAGCCATAATGTAGGCCCATTTCCAGTCTGGTTAGATCCACCTAACTTAATACCAACTTTCTCTCTACAGGCAGTATGATATAATGTAACAATCATTTGTCGAACCATGGATAGACAGTCTAATGGCACATGGTTTGCTTCAGTTACTATGACATTGGGTGGGACAACAAGAGGATGAGATTGGTTTATGGTTAGAAATGATTGACTGGGCAAGCTACTGAGTTAGTTAGGCTGGAAAAACACTTAGATTTCATGACATTAACCACTTAACAACCATGTCAAATAAATTATGTGATAACTGTCCCTTGTTACATTAGGTTTGACGTTTAGATTGATGTATGATATTACTGCTGTGAATGTGCCTACATTGTCAAGGGGGTAAAGTCGTGGGTGTCTTATGAATAGTAACTTACTCAAACTGGCACACAGCACTGTGCTTCACCTACAGTTATATGATTGTGTAGAATTGCTAACTAATCTCAACTATCACAATCCTACTTCATAACATTAAATCATCTGCTAAAAACATGAAGTTATAGTATTTCCTGTCTAAAGACATACAGATGTAAGCACATTTTGATAGATTTTGTAGTTTTCAAGATTATGCAAAAAATTCTTTTCTATTTTCAGATGAGCGACAATAAGATCACTCCCCGTGACACCACCATGACGTTCACCTGTTTTGTTTTCTTTGATATGTTTAATGCTCTCAGCTGTAGGTCACAGGTAAGAGAAGCATTGACTGAAAAGAAATTTACAATAATTACTTACAAATCTCAAACTTTTTTCCTAGATTTTTCATCTTTGATTTTTACTTTTAAGCTTGAATTCATATTACTTTTCACAATTTCCAATTTTTTTAAAAATTAAGTAATAAAATATTGCTATGAGATATAATTAATAAGATTTTGCTCTTTTCAGAAAAAGTCAGTGTTCTCCATAGGTTTGTTCAGTAACCGCATGTTCCTGCTTGCTGTTGGTGGCTCCCTCTTGGGGCAACTGCTGGTGATCTATTTCCCTCCATTACAGGCCATATTTCAGACTGAGGCTCTATATTTAACAGGTAGATAATTGCGCCATCTTGTGGTGTTAAAAAAGGGGGTTTTATTGATTAGCCCATAACTATCTCTGTCATGATAAAAAAAAAGGTTTTAATTCATCCAATGTTCTTTCGTTTCAAGACAGAAAAAATAAATTGGCTTCTCTAGTTGTTCTTAAAAATTATTTTGTTGGTTTATTTTTGCTTAATTTGCAGTTTTATTCACTGGAAAAAGAAGTATTATTTAATAGGATGTTTAACACACTTCCATTCATATGGTTTATACAGAAAATATTTTCAGTGTTCCTTATTCCAACATTTGTCAAATCAATTTTTTTCTCTTTTCAGATTTCCTATTTTTAATAGCTCTCACATCCAGTGTTTTTGTTGTAACAGAAATACGTAAGCTAATTGAGAGAACTTCAGAGAGGAGGAGAAGACTATTTGCCAAGGAAAAATTCTATGATGATCACGATATTGTATGATGTAAAGTAGAAAAAATATAGTGTTAACTTATACATTGGTTCACTAGTGCAACCTGTGGCTTATGGTTGTGGATATTTATGTATGATTGTAGACAACAAAGTCAACAAAGGCTGAAGGATTATATTCTTTATTTTAAAAGTATTTCACCTTGTAACCTAGTCACAGTTTTTGCATTGACAAATGTTGTATTGACAAATTTTTTTGCATTTATCTCTTTTGTGTCATAATTTTGATTCTGGGTGTTTTTCTTTTAAGTAAGAATTTTTAGAGTCGCAGGTAAAACTGCTATGGCATAAGGTATCTTGGTAGATTTTTTTTTAATTTGTTTGTTGGAAACTTGCTAGCACGTCAGTTTCATGGGGTATTCTGGAAGCACATGTGCAACTTCAAGGCCAACATTATCAAAAAGTTCCATTTTTAAAATTTTCTTGTTATTTGAATACTTAGATGCTTTGATCTAGTGTAATTATGATATCAGATTGAAAGAATTTGAGTGCATGAAGAAACTGTTTATTAGGACATTTATGATTAGTCCCTTAGGAAGGGGAGTTCAAGGGGTTCTAAAGAATTGCCCTTCTTGGCTGGGAAAAGACTGAATCAAAATTAGATCTAGGCACTATGCCATTTCTCAAGGAGGGTCACCTAAAAGGGGTAAAAAAAAGATGCACTTTTTTAGAAAAAGACCTCCCTCTGACATTGCTGGTTACAGGCCTGGCTTACCTGTTGAAGATGGTACTTGCAGCAACAGTGTCTTGCAAAAATGGACCAATTGCAAAAGGTTCAAGAAATTATTTCCAATTGAATTTTACAAAGGATTTTGACATCTCAGCTGATATTTTTTTCTGGCAGTCTTTCTTTTAAGAAAATTAAAATTTTAACTTATGGTACACAAGGACATGAGATTATGATATGAATTTATTTGTTTATAACATTTTCCTTCCAGTTGTCATCATAGTTCTTTTATTTGTATCATCAGTGTATTTTCAGAGTTGAAAACTGTTTAAATACCCTGACACGATAACATGGCCATTTGACATCCATGTGCCTAGTAAAAAAAACTTCAATTAAAATAAATGAGAGAATCTACTACAATAAAACAATTGTTCTGTATAACACAATTTAGTTCACTCTCAAAGTCGCAATACAATGGTGGAACTACTTATAACCCTCAAGTCCCCTTTACGTTGGACGCTGTCCTTTCTGCAACCATGAAACTGGCATTTTTGTAGTTGTAATAAGGAAGGCACACATGCTGCTTTGGGATGGAGAATGATTACTCAACAATTGGTCAGTTGTCAGCACTTTAGTTAAAGTATTATTTATTTATTTTTATTTTTTTTACTCTCAAAGGGGGCCATACTACAGGATACAAAAAGGACGCCATCCAGTGTAAAGGGGGCTTTATCAACTGAATCTGGACATTAACACAGATGACTGTTCTAGTCAAAGCATGTGTTGAGTTCACATAGCTGATCCTTGATATAGCAATTACATTTTCCACAAGAAACATAGCATTGACAATGAATATAATTTCTTTTTTCCTGACAGAGATGCGCTCTCTGTGAGTGGGACTTCCAAGTCTGCAAGCTCCTGGTCATTGCCCACGAGCAATGTGAGAAGCAGTTTAAACAATTTCTCCTCTTTAATGGCATTCACTTCTAGAATAACCCTCACATCAAGTTTTTTTTTTTACATCCTATGTTCCCTTTATAATTCAACTGTCACAGATGTCTGTTTCATGGCATTGTAAATGTAAGTGTTGTTCATTGGTACAAACTGTCCTGTAATGATTTTGATCGCCTCTTGGGCTGCAACGCCACCTAGGAATGAGGCAACAGAGTGGATCTCCGCAGCACCATAACGACACCTAGAAAGAAATTAATATTTTATGTAGCAAATATAAGAAATCAGCAGAAAGACAATGTTATCTTTGTTTGATTTTAGCATGTGATAGACGCATGCACTGTACTTACATTTCATGAACAAAGTCATCTTTGATGTTATATACATTCCCGTACTCATGTAACAACTTGGCAAGGCAGGTCTGCAATGAAATGGTAGTTATTAAAAACCTGCATAACATTCAGTGTAATACAAAGAAATATATTGGATATTCAACTGGAAAAGCAAGCCTCGGACATCCATGTGGAACATTCGATTCAAACTGGCACACTTGCTGGCAACATGATTGTGCAGTAATGGCAAAAACTTACAATTATAGTTTCCATTCAAAAAATGTCATACCATGTAAAAAAAGGATAAATGCAATTTTCAACAATGACACTTAAAATTCAATTGTGCTGACAAAAGTTTCAATTTTTATTCAAGAATGTAATATGAACATACCTTCAAGGAAAAAGGTTTATGTAAAATATAATAGAGAAAGATAGGCTGCCAAAAATACTCTTAGAAGTTATCTAAGGCATAATAATTAAAAGGACTAAAATTACTGTTTGCAGCAATATTGCAGCAAATTTGCTGCTAATTCACCGCAAATTTGCAGCAGACCTATTGTATTGCTAATGAAATGGCTACCTTAAGCTTTGGAATGTCTGCCTCCACCTGGTCATCATACACTCCAGGGTAACGGTTAAAGTCTGCATAAAATTTATCCACTGCTCGCAGAAGGATGTACCATATTGCATCATCTTCGTCTGACTCCTCGATGTTCCCCACTAAAAATATATACACAGGGTGCAAATTATTTGCATGGAAAACTGAATAAAAAAAGAACTCCTCAATGTTCCAAAATAAAATATACGTAGAATTAGAAATTATTGTCATGAAAAACTCTGAGGAACATTTTGAAAGCACTTTTTTTTTTTTTAAATGCCCCAGTCAATTTCAAAGAATTCCTCATTCACACTAAAACAATGATAAATATCAGTCAATGTTTTTTTTTTCCTAGTCCTACCTAGTTCTCCAATCTTGGCTGTGGCCGGGTCGTACTCCTGAGCTATAGAGCGGTACTGAAGCACGCGGAGAAAGGAGGCATTGCGACCTAAAAGTGTCAAAAATTAAAATGTCTTTAGTTAAAACATCAAATACACCCTGCCAGAGAAGAATTTTCATTCACTGAATAACCCAACTGTACTTATCAACTTATAAACTGACCTCAAAATGTAATGAAAGAAGCAAAAAAAAAAATGTTTTTTTAATACCTAAACCATCTGGAACTGTTGTAAATTTTGGACTGAAAATTTGAGAATGAACAAGTATAGAAGAGGGTTAACAGTACATTTATTTGAAAATGATTTGTGAGACCAAGATACCCATTGTTTCAAAGGGAAAGGATGAAGCAACTTAACATTATTATCTTTACATTTCTTAATTTTTATTTTTGGATAACTCTGCAGTCTTTAGATCCACACTGCTGGTTTTCACTGTTTACCAGATGACATGAGACCAAGACAGATCAGTATCAATTAGACTTAAGTATTTTAATTGAAGCTTAAAAGTGGGTTAACACTTTAAAAAAGAAGAACGAGTGTATAACACTGTTGAGTATTCAGTTTCATGCAAACTCTCTTTTCCCCATTCAGTTCATGCAACAAAAAAAATTGTCAATAATTTGTTCCAGATGTCTCTGGTGTTTCTCACTTACAGAAAAGTTTCACATCTGCTTCAGTGATGGTGTCTTTGGACTGCAATAAGAAAAAGGAAGCTGTTTAATACTAGTGTCTGTGTAAGTATATGTACAATGTACATGTACATAATGTCATGCAAAATAACATCACTATATGCAAAATAGACTGCAAAGTGCCCTTATAACCAGCAGCAACAAATGCAATTAAAAGACTTGGAATTGGGAATGATATGACAGGTATATTACTGAACAGAAAACGGCTAAAACAGTGGGACCCATTCAAAGCACTCCCCCCCTCCCCCTCCCCCCTATAGACCTGGTAGCATGTTCCCATACATTCAATCTACAATAAAGGAGACTAGCCACAGTGGCAGGGTTGGGTGGAAGGGGGAGATCTGATCCATCCATTGCCATGCCATTTGTTCTGTTTTCATCATTAAGAACATGTAGGAATGACTAGCATCTCCGTGCAACATGCAAGGCATGAAAACATGGCTGCCAATATCACACTCATTGTTTCCACACACCAGCATGCAAACACGGACACAATTTGTTTTTTTTTTTGTTTGTTTGTTTGTTTGTTTTTTTTTCTTTTTTTTTTATTTGACCTGTACATCCATTTCTTTTTAGAATTTGACCTGTAAATCAACCCTGCTGATGACCTCAAATTTAACATTTAGAAAACATTACAAAATAAACAAGCGAATCAATACATTTCACATGCACTTTCAGTTCCCCTGCCATGAAAAGCACTGAAATGAGAACATTAATGAGGACACAAAAGTGGATTTATACAATTTTCTGGTTGTTTATTTTGGAAGACAATCAGAATTTCTCAGAATGGCATTTTAATCACAAAATGAGTAACTGATGATTTACATATTGTCTTTGGAAAGTTGTCAGTCTGGATAGAATACTTTTAGTATTATAGCGGTTTGTGCCCACTCCCAAGAGACTAACCTGATATTGTTCTCAAGCTGATGGTGTGAATTGAAAGATCTATTGTGATATATTTATAACACAAGTTAGACAGCAGAAGAACCATATCAAAGAAATATGTTAACCAGAAAATTACCCAGGTACATAAGCCAAAAATAAAAATATACAACAGTATATTTATTCACTTTTGGTGCTTTTGACACAATATAGTTAGGAAACAAAAATGTTTTCTAACTGAATATGTTTATACCAATGACATTTTCTAAAGCTGTGTAAATCAAGCCTGTTAGTGCGAAACTGCAGTTAGTAGTAAACAGCAGAAAATCAGTAAAAGGGCATGCATCCAAATTCCAATGTCCACCAGTTGAAAGGATGAGTACTTTTTAGAAAAGTACTTACTTTTTCAAATAATTAAAAATTACGAAACAAAAGCAGCCTGCACCCATATGCCTTCTTTTAATTGGCAACATTTCTGAGGCTGTGTTCACATCAAGATCAACTTATGCCAGAAAATGTCTAACTGACATCATCAGACGTTCATATTTCAACAAGTGTCAGGTTCCAATGGTTCCACAATCTGAGGATGGTTTCATGAGACCTTCATTCGGTAACAATTGTCATTATTGTTATTTGATGATATTTACTTCATTTACGCACATAGTAAAAATGGGGATTGAAGAAGTGAAACCTGTAAGAGGTTGTCCAGGAATGAAGGTTTCTCGAACCTGACTCCTTGTTGCCTGATGAGATAAGTTAAACTATATGACTGATTTCAGTGCCAATTTAGCAAAAAGATTTTAGACTTAATCCAGGAAGTAGAAAGTTTAATTACAGTTGGGTCCCCCTAAGGAACGTAAATGTATGTAATTCTTTCATTAACCTGAGCTGCCAACCAAAGTACTGACAGCTCAACTCATGGATAGCATAGTGTGCAGTGGCTAAACTGTAACAAACCATTTTATTCTAGGCCATTTTTGTGAAATTGGCACCGAAGGAAGGATATTTCTGTGAACACGACCTTATCCTCCACCAACACAAGCTGAGATAAATAATATCTGATCACTTGTAACTAAGTGGCCAGTGGTCCTTTCATTCAAGAGAAAAATGAATCCATTGACAAATATTTTCATAAACAGATATACTCAATGTATATAAAAAAGGATGTTTGAAGACTTTTTGCCAGACCAATAGGAGCAGGTTTCATATAGCCAGTTTAGATAACAATTGTCACATGTAACATATTGTTGGAGGAGTTTTAGGTGGTTACCATGGGAACTAGTAATAATAATAATGCCTTTAACCAATAAATTGAAATTAGTTGTAGGCCTACACTAGCTATGTTGTTGTTGTTTTGGCTTTGGCACCGGCTTTTCATGTCTGTGGGAACAGGCTCCCCCTGTCAACAAAAAGAAAGATTTTGAGAGAGTTAAAGCTTTATTGCTGATATAAATATCAGCAACATGAAAGAGAAGTTTCAGAAATAATTCAAAGAAGGAAATCTATGAAATCAATACTGAATCAACACTGTCCTATTCCTAAAAGAAAAAAAAAACATTCTGGTTTTTTCAGAGCTATAAAATGAAAAACTTCAAACTGAAGGAGTGAATGCTTTCTGAAAACTTCCCCCAGTGCAAAAAAGCTTTGTCTACATTTACAAGACAATATTTTTGAAATTCATTAAAAATGGAACAGGTCAAGGTGATATCTAATAAAACCCTAGGAAAAAACATTTGACAAGTGCAGATAGAATCACAAAAAATGTGAACTTCCCCATACAAATGATTCTGTCTCAAAGGCATAGGGGGTCAATCTTTTTTGTGCCAAAATACAACTGAAACACCAGAACCATCAGTTGTAGAAAAATAAAGTTCACATAAGTATAATATATTTGAAGCACCATCAAACAGGGTTTCCTGAGAAATATTAAAAAACGCCAATAGTTCATCCTCTATGCCTTTACTATTCAAATCATTTGACATAAAAAGCCAGCACACTGATAATAATAAAATAAATGAAGAGATAAGGACTGGTAATAAGCCCTGTTTCCAGTCAAATTAAAGCGACCTATTCTCTCTGCATGACCCACTTTGGAAGACTAAGCGTTCTGAGTTCACCACTGGCAGAAAAAAATTATAGGTTCTGTTGTCCCATCCACTTTTGTTTACATAGAAGTTAGCTGAGATTTGCTTTGCGAAGTAATGATGTCGTAATCAGAAGATCCTCTGAGATGAGCCATAGACACATTTCACATGGAGCAGTATACTTCAGCAATACAGTACCAGTACACTTTGAGAGGATGTAAAAAGTGGGTTTACTCGCTTTCACAAGACTAGTGTGATTCACACTGCTTTTGTGAAAGTTGACTGACTGTGTCACCTTTTTTCACTATCTCACATTATAGTAAGGCTATTCTGAATCTCTCAAAGCGTACCAGTACAGACTGTTCCATGTAAAGTTTTGATGTGAAAAGGGCCATCAAGTAAGGTTGATCTAACTTCAATGGAAACATGGCTTTAAAATAAAAGACGGTTGCAGAGCTACTTTAACTTACCTTGTGAAACCGTTTTTGAGATAATTTATGTTCATCAGTCTGTGCTCAAAAATGCATGCCAGATCTACTTCAAAGACTTTCAAGCAATTTTCCAACCTAAACAACCTCTAATTGCTGTCAAATAGCCCACATACTCCAGGGACAGATCCAGCCTTCTTAAGAAAAACTGAATCCATACATAAAAAAAACACCCATTTTTTCGCATAATAAAAATGTGTTTCTGTAGAATCCTGATCATCTTCCAAAGCCTAAAGACCTCTCCACCCCCTGCACCCATCATGCACATGAAAACATATGCATGCAGCCTGTATTTATTTACTTACCTTCCCCAATGACTGCAGTAGCTGCTGGACTCTGTTGGCCACCCACTCTGCCTCTACAGCAGCCTGCTGGCGGTACACCTGCTGTAGCTGAATGTACCTCTCTGAGTCCGCGGTCATGTCTGGGATGGTTCCTCTCAGTGGGAGGGCACCTGTCAATATAGCATGTATTTTCAATGTGGCAGAATTAATGGGTGCACTCAGATACATAGTACGTAGTTCAAACCTGAGATGGCATGATAGCTTGTCACCAAATGCATTGGATTGGGATGTAGAATCTTAAATATTTAATTTCCGTGGGTGGACATTATTTTGTATAGCTTTAAAGAAAATTTCATACAATAAGATTTACTGATGTAAGAGGTATTTAATATAATAAATGAAAATTACAGAATTTATAGGCAAAATAACTTGGCAGAATTCACACTGACAGCAGGCCCAATAACCATCTCATATTCAAATGACACACAAAAATATTCACATTTTGATGGAGGGGCAAAGTTTAATAATTGCAGACAGGAGTCACATGATGGAAAGGTCAACTCAAAGAACATAAGATAATGGAAAATCTAATTCAACTGAATTATTCATTCCCTTATACAATATACAACTGACACGTTATTTTTTAAGTTATCAATATAATCTACCAAGAGATCCATTCAATACATAAAAATCATAAACTTTTTTTCTAACATTCCAGTAGAATTTGGGATCATGATCACTCACCCTCTCCCACACTCTCCACAAAGTCTTTCACAGCTCTTGCTAGTATCCAGAAAGGCTTGCTCTACAAAGTAAAATCAAGGTTAACTGTATTATATTATATTATACCATTCAGAAAAATCTATGTAAATACATACTGTGATTTCATTTCTACGTAATCTTACACTAAAGCCAAATCTTCAGATGATTATAGCCCTCCTATGTACTCATTTGTATTCGTGTAAGTATAATTTACACAAATTTCAAACACCTTCCACTAATTCTAATAACTCATGTTTATAAGTTACATAAATCATTATAAAATAGTTACTCATAGAGCCCATTTCCATAGATTTTAGATCGATCTATCCCTGTGGGGAGTCTCACTAGATTACTGTCAGCTTAGCCGGCTTAAGCATCTGTCCCGCCTACTGAAAGCTGTAAGGGGGTAATTAACTATGGTGCGTGCTCGGCTGACTGCAATTTAGCGTGAACCCCCAGGGAGTTAGGTCGATCTAAATCTTAATCCCTGGATCGATCTAAATCTCTGGGAATACACCCATAAAAACAAACATAATGACCTTGTCTAGCATGCTTTCCAGGGCCTTCAAATTTATTTTTCAGAAAGACCAACATGACAGTTTTAGAAAATATTTTTGTTCAAAATTATCATATCAAAATTAATATATATATACCAACATACCTCTGGTTGTAAATTTACACACTCACTGTCATTGAATATATTCTGTACTGCAGATGGGATCTACAATGAGTGAAATACCATAATTATAATGAAAACAGCAGAAGCTGAATATAAAACTATGCATTGTACATTTACTGAAAAGTTGTTTCTTAGATGAAAAAGCCAATAAAAATAGATGTAAATTAATCAATTAATGAACATATGAAACTGAAAAAGAAAAAAGTTGGGATCCCATTGGTGGTTCAAATGAGGGTTCTACTTACCGAGGTGGGAACAAGAGACACATTAACATTATTTATAGCCTCATCAAAATTCTCTTCCACTTCGGGAACACCTTCCTCATTCCTTAAAACTCCTGGAAAAAATGATATCATGAAAATATTTAACTGGGACCAGGAATATCAAATGTTTCATTGATTGATCAAATCTGAACCATTAAAGAGTTTTAAGTTACTTTAAAGGATTATTTAGTCAAGCAAAGCCAATTTTTGCCAGTAAATATAAATAGCCAAACAACTTTATATGAAACAAAACAACAAATATCACACATATTCAAACCTAAAACAACAACAAAAAATCAACTGAAAGAAACTGATTCATCTCTCCTACTCATCGACAGCTTTTTTTTTTTTTTTTTTCACTCTACCTTGCTGAATTAGTTTCTTGAATTCATTTTTCTCCTTGTAGTTTTTGGGGGCAGCTCCACCATGCTGCAATAGTCAAAAATAGAAATATAGTGAAAGGGCATGTAAAATATAATTGTTTTAATTTAGGGAATAATTACAGTAAAAGATACTATTCACACATATTTGATATCGGACTAAACACTGAATCAAAAGGGTCTTACCTGTTCTTTCCAGATTTGTAAATACTTGAAAATTATGACCAACCAGGGAGTGTGGCTGTGATCCTGGAGAAGAAATGAAATTCAGCTACATTTCTCTTCACACACACTCACTCGCAAGCAGGCAAGCATGCACATACACACATTTACCAAACAACATGTTTGTGACTGTGTATGCATGATGTGTGTATTACTCCTTAAACAACTAATATTCACGTGTATATATTAGATGAGATTTTCCAGAGCTTAATATTCTGAAAATATCAAATTTAAATTTTATTTTCTTTATGCACTTTGATAAACATTATCAGTAACCAGCATACACAGAAATAAGACAGACTTTCCTTCCGTGCATTACATTTTTATTCCAATGGAAACCAACTCTTTTGATAATATAAAGTCTAAACCCGTCCCCATGTAAAGCATGGTCTCACCTTCTTTTTCATAGTGCTGAGATCCAGTGAGTCACAGTACTGAGTCAACCCTGGGAAAGGCCGATCTAGTCTCAAGTCTTCGTGTGCATTGTCTGGGTGAGATTCTATCACTGTAATATTCAAATATAGCTCATCTTATAAAGCAAAATTGTGGTTCAATGTAAAATTATATTTCTTCTTAAATAAATCTATTATATTATAATTCCTAAAGACATATCAGTCCATCATCCCGAACTATGGGAGAACTCTAAATTGGTATTTACTTGCACACATTAATACATAGTTTATAGGTAGTTAACAGATAAAACAAACCAAACAAAACAAATTGATTTAAATAAATCTCTCCCAGACCTCCCCTGTGATTCCTCATAAACAATAGTGACATTTTTCATTTCAACCAAATAACTCATTTTTCACCAATCTCAATAATTTGACTAGACTCCTTAAAACTTGATCTTTCTTTTTCCTTTAGCATATTATCTATCTGTATAGTACTCTCAAGCCTAAATCTTAGACACCAACATTCTCCCTCCATTGTTTTCTCACGTACCAGTGTGTTCTCTTGCCACCAGTCTTATGGAGCCAATGAGACCATATGCACGTACCACCATAAGAGGAATATCCTTTTCCCACAGATGACCAGATAATTTGTGTAATACCCTGTAACAGATAAAATATTCTTATTAATAAGTATTACTACAAAATGTTGACAAGAGGGGGGAAATGACAGCTACAACAAATACTGGCAAAAGTATATGTTTAAATACACTTTCAAATATACTTTTAAAATCCAGAAAACAAGCAACTTCAAAATTTTTACCACATAAATTTACAACTTAGCAAACAGTCAATTTTGTGACCAATAAGCTAATACAAGTTTTAACCCAGAACTTTTGTGCAATACCTACTAGATTATAATGTGCTGTTTTTAAAAATCTAAATCCATACCTCTCAGGCAAGTCTACAGCTACTACAATTGTAAATGTGTCAAAGAATTCTGGGTTCCTTTCAAGCAGCAGTTCAGGGCTCTTAAAAAAAAAAAGCAGCCAGGTTAACACATGGTGCTGAAATGTTTCAGTTTGCCTGTAGGAAAAATTATGATAAACATGATTGTTTAAGTGTCTTTATTAAACAGGAGCTCCCCTATAAGAATGATAACTTACCAGGTTATTAATAGTTGAGGGCATATATCACATTTCTTGTAACAGTAAAAACAGAAATTTAGAACAAACTCAAAGACAGGTTTCAAGATAAAAACTTTCACAGCAGTTTCATATAGAATACACCTTAATGCTAAGGGGGATTGTGCTGAAATTTCCAGGAAAATAGTCAGATGGTAATAAAAGGTCTGGGCTCCATTCCCATACACACCAAAGGTCAATGAAGATTGATCCAACTCTGTGGGGACTCTTGCTGAGTACAATCAGCTTAAATGAATAACTAACCTCCTCCTGGCATTGAGCACAACACATAATAGCTGGTGATTATGCATGGAGTATGATAGAAACAACAGGTGTCATTCATTAAGGTGACTGCACTCAGCGAGAGTCCGCACCAAGTTGGATCAAACTATGTGGGGTCTAACACTTATTGCATGATTTAGGTGAATTCAACATGATGTCAGAATCATATACTTTTATTTTATTCTCACCTCTTCCATGAAGTTTCCTGTCACATCTTCATTTAGTTCCAGCAGGAGATCTGTAGCCACCTGAGCACGTGACTGAAAAGAAACAAAATTGTATACAAAAATTTACATAAAAATTGATAATATTTGATTAATTTTAAAATAGAAATATTTGAAATTTACACTTTAAACAAACCCTTTAATAAATGATTTCCAACTGGTGCAGACTGCAGTATTTAGCCCAACTTCAAATGACAAAAGACATTTTTATTACGAATTCAATTTCTTTCCTTTTGGAAATAACCTGATACTCTAATGGTCACATTTAAGATAATAAAAAACAACAAAAGTTTTAATCTTTAATATGCATATTTACCTCTCCAATCTTGTCTTTGTCAAGAAAAAAACTGAAAAAAAAATTATACTTTCAGTTAGATTTTTCAGTTAGTAATCATCTATCGATATATATATTTCATTTACAAGTATACAAATAATCAAAATTATAGTTTATAAGAGCAATGAACCTATTTACAAAAAAAGTCTGACATTGTCTGTATCCCACAGGCACCAACCTGAAGTTTGTTCACATCATGATCAGAGAAAATATTTCCAGTCTTAGTTAGTCTAGTGGTGAATGTGGCTGTGGAAGTCACCATAGTGTACAGTACTTACTTGTTGCCTACATCCTCTCCTGTCACCTTCTTACCATCCACTATGGTGAAGGAGCCAACACCTTGGTGAAATTACAAAATTCAATCTGATTAAATAATGTCCGACTCTATACATACTAGTATGGATACCATGAAGGTCTTAATTAAAATACTTAATATTTAAAAATAACAAGAATCATCTTTAGTAAAAGAAGTAATTACATATTAAAAACTTGTCAATTAAATTGCATTTTTTTTTCACAATGACAAAGTCAACAGATATTATGCGACACTGATACTTATTCAATATAAGTGACAAATGTTAATATTCACACACCTGGTAATATCAGGTTTTTCAAAATTTCTGTCCCTGTTGCCGTGGCATTAATAAGGCAAACTTTGGCAGACTCTAATGCACACTGGCCATGATCACCCCATAACCTGCAAGTGAACTAACCAAATTAATATTCAACTCTCCACTAAACCACATATTATGAAATATAATACTAGTGGTACAGGCCTTTGGAACTGAACTGGTGTCAAAACTTGAAACAGAACAAAAGAATCACTGCCCCATGAAAAAATGGTAATCCATAGCTTTGTGTAACATAATCCTTAACTTCTGATGTATTCCCGACTATATGAAATGGTTATAGAAAGTATAGCCCGAGAGAGCAACATCAGGATCTGAAGGAGACGTTTATCATATGGAGATAAGCCTCATGCACCGGCATCGATATATGTTGAAATTTGCGAGCACCAAGTTTTTCTTTCATCATTAATTCTAATTTACATTTATGTCAGTAAGTCTCAGACAAATAATGTGATCTTTTGTAAGTTTTCGATGATGAAAGCGCCCATTAAAGTCTATGCCGCTCTCTAGCCCAGTGACATAGAACTATAGTTTCAAAATTGATCAAAATCTTCTAAGTGGGAGCTTCACATTTTTCCATTTATCAGTTGTTTTGCACAACTCAGTTTGGTAGATGTCTGCGTACGACATTTTGGAACACAGAGCTCAAATCGCAATTGTCCATTTAGTATCATAACATAATCTTACAATCAACTTTTCGACGCTACACTGCCCAGTAACTCTGTCAATGCCAAACAACTTCGACTAATCGGTGCGCACAACAAGTACACCACTCCTTGTATTGTAAAATAATTATATAATAAATTATCATTAAATAGAACATTGTTAGACAACAGATAATGAGATGGTTACCTTAACTGTCGATCATATTTTCGAGTTTTATCGAGGCTTTCCTTCTCGCCAGACATGTTGAGAGAGGCTTATTTCCGTACTAAAAACAAAACACAATAGACACAATGTGACGTCATGTAGGTCTGTAAAGGCCTGAGAGGAGATTGAGGTGCCAGGTCAAGGTAGTTATATTCATCTTGTTATGAATTATGCAGTTACTGGCTGATCTACATTTTGCTGATGGTTGGAGGGGGTAACAAGAAAAACATTAGACTTTCACTGAACAGCAAACACAAAACAGCAGAAGAGTACAATTTTACTATGCTATTCATGCATAAGAATTAAAAATACAATCTCACTCTGAGGATTTTTTTCAATTTTCAATTTTCAATTTAAGAATTTTAACTTTTGAATTTCATATATTTTTTTACATTCAACTCACTTTGCCTGTTCATATTTCAGAGATTAACAAGTAAAAAGTCCACAGAAAATCAAATAAAAAGAGACAATTAGCAACTGAAATATCTACATTGATAAGACTTGTTTATTTTAAAAATAAGTTGTTTATACAGTACATAGTTCCTGGACAATTCAGTAACCTGCTGTTCAACAGCACAAAATTATTTAACTTGATCATAATAACATAACACTGACAAACTGATGGAGAAAATTCTCTCAAAGCACATATACTATGTAATGATGATGCTGTATAAGAATAATACAAATGTACTTACAATTTTGGTAAGGGTTAATTATAAATTCATCTTAAACTGACTAACAGGTGGCAGATAAAAATGAATCTTAAATACATTTTTTTCATTTACAAATAAGCATTACTTGCAACTTTATGAGAATAAATATTTTAAATTATTGTTGGGAAAATGCATTGGATTTTCCTCCAAGTATCATCTGTCACCTGAAACTGCTAAAAATATTTTTTTGCACAATTTGACCAAATGATATTTTCTTTAAATGACAAGTGAGTAGAAGGCCAGCTTCCACAGATATCCTTCTCTTTGCATTGAATATTATTTCTCATACAATATCAGCAGAAAACACGTGTTGCATCTCCTTCTAGTTGAGATCAGATAAAAGTTACTTTTTGTATGTACAGTATATTTTTGTATGGCACCCCTTCATATTCTGGACGGTTCTGGGTATTAGAAATGGCATATGGGTCACATTGCCAGACATAACCAAATAGTTTTTTTTTAATCCCATGTGTCACCTTCCTTCACACAAGCCTGGTAAAATGCTGACTCTTTTTAGTATAATCTGGACAAATTTAGACAGTAAAATATTTGATCATATATATCCAAATATATTGTGGCCAGTATCCTGTAGTTTACTGACAATATTATTTAACTGGCACTGCAGTGGGCAGCTATGGAAAAGCCACACCATATAAGTCATGGCCAGGCTCATTGAAACATTTGTAAGAGCAAAGCAAAGTCCTCACTGGAATTCTACCACTTAGGGTCTTCACCATACCAATCTCCTGTAATTAATCAAAAATACATTTTTAAGTCCAAATCCAAAACCTTTTTTTTTTTCAATTCATAAAATGTTATGTTTACCAGTTTGTTTATGACATTATTTTCAAATAATAAACATGTGCCTAACATACAATAAAAGGTTTTAGTATTTGTTTCTTCTGTTCTTCTGAGACAGAATACTAAACATCAACCAAAAGTATTGGAATTGTATTCTGACTGGTTTTACAGTTTGCCAGAACAATGCACAATATCTGAATTCTTTTTTTTTTTTCTTTAAAGTGTATAATTAATCCAGGCCCAGCTTAGCAATGGGTGGAAAATGAGCTCATCGTCATTCTACATCAAGTCTAAGTTGGCTTGTAGTGTGAATATCATCTAATTATATACCAACCTTGCTGTCCACAAACTTGACACATTCCAGCCATGTGTTGAGGAAAGCATTGCCACATACTCCACACTTGCTGGACTGGGACAGCATCTCCTTTAGCTCTGGATAGTGCTCTATAGACTTCCTGGTATAAGACCACCTGTCCTTTAACTCATGCATTACTTGCCTGGCACACATTTCCTGAAATAATCCAACAATACATTGGTATATATATCATCATGCTCATATATATATATATATATATGATAATACTGTATCTTGTTGTCATCATTTATTTATTTATTCATCTATTCATTTATTTACTTTAGTTATTTCTAAATTAAATTGTCTTATATTTATTTGTTTATTTTTGCACACATGCCAAGGCATGCACACTAAGCAAATACATCCACATGCACACACCAGACACTACAATCGAGCACAGCACAAACATGCACATACACACACACGCACGCATGCATACACACCCACATTCACACCTATGCATGCACACACACACACACACACACACACACACACACACACACACACACACACACATGCAGACAAATGTACTGGTAGCACTTACACACACATGCATGCACACACACACACACACACACAACACACACACACACACACACATACACACACACACACGTAACACACATATGTCACCTTAAGTGTAAGTACTTCCTCTTCTTGCACAGAATGGACAGGTAGGTTTTGCAGCAGAGGGTTTGCTTCACAGTACAACTCTCTCAGGGGAAGCTTGGCCAACTCTGTCGGAAATATCCTGAGTTCATTTGCCGCAACATCTAGAGTACTCAACTTGAAACATTTCCCCAAACTCTGAAACAGTAATAAAATAGTCAAAATGAATTGTTATCTTACTTTTAAATTCTTTTTTTTTTTCACAATTTTTGGTAACATATCAATTATTATTGGTTCAATTTTATGAGCAAGTATCGTACCTCTGGTAGTTCTCTTAATCTGTTCTTCTGGAGGTATAGTTTCTCTAGGTTGATCAGGTATCCAAATTCTAATGGCAGACTAGTCAGCCTGTTATTGGCCAAATGCAACTCTTTTAATTTGGTCAGGGCACATATTTCAAATGGAAGCTCCTCAAGCAAGTTGTTGTCTAGGCTTAAATTCTGCAAACTGGTTAGCCTGAAAGAAACAGACAAGTCAGTGAAACTATTATCCACAGCTCTAAGTAATTTAAAATATCTTAGATCTGAAGAGAAGAGGCTTATACTGAGTGTAAGACTAAAATATGTAAAACAAGATACTGAGTTGTTTTGTATGATGGTTTTTGTTGAATAAAAATTTCCAAAGTATTGAAAAATCACATGCCTAAAGATGCAACAATTGATTTTTTCAAAGTTTAAACCAACTAAAATATTTACTACTTTTTGTTAAAATCTGTTGGAAAAAACTTACCTACAAATTTCAGTGGGCAAAAATGTTAATTGATTGCTGTTTAGATTTAACAAAACCAACTGTCTAAGATTGCCTGAAATCATAAAAACAAAAGGATTAATATGCAACTTTATGAAATTCATAGAAATTCTTAACAATTTCAAACATAGCTACTTGACTTTTTTCCTTTCATATTACTATATTAGGCCATAATTAATTGACATGGCATTCAAACAAGTGACAATATAATTCATGGATTTTTGTGCAAACAGAAAAAAACCAAAGAACAAAGAAATCCAGACTGTTTGAAGAAATGGAAAATGTTCAAGATCAGAAACCCCAAGAATGATTCCCATTATGTCTCTCACAGAAATTTTTAAAAATGCTAAAATCCCATACTCACTTATTACTACTGGTGACAGCTCTTTTATCCTGTTGTTAAACGCATGCAGGACAGTCAGGTTGATTAAATGCTGAAGAGCCTGAGGTAAACTGTCCAGTTCATTATTGCCAATATTTAATATTTCAAGCTGAAACAAAACAGAGAACTATCTCAAGAATTTAAAAAAATGATAGTTTTTGTTATTGATTAAAATGTTAGAAGGGTTAAAGCTGCAGTCACAATTAAGACGGCAACACAGCATCTAGAAAAGTGACAATTGGGCCCGTTGTTAAATATCACAAATTAAACAAAAAATAGATGCCTACTGAAGAAAACAGAAAGCCTCACATTAAGTCTGGCTTTGTTTCAGCACAGGAGGAAAGATTCATCTTGAACCGTGTACTCATGGCAGCATATATTTTAAAAGTGTATATACAGCAGTTGAGCCAAGGTGGAGTGAAGGTCCAAGCTGGTTAGATTTTCGTGGAGTTTTTAAAAATTTCCTGAGTTTAAGGCCTTAATAACCACTGGCTGTTGGAGTTAAGTGGGGAAAAAAGTCTTGAGACTTGAACTGATACCAAGAAGTGTTTAGAGTTACCTGAATCCCTTTAAGGCCTTATTTTGCCACTTACCGCAATAAGGCGTCACAGACATCACATTTAAACCTTAACTAAAACCTGAAGAGTAAACTGAAGTCTAAAGGCTTCTTAAAAGAAGGAATAGGGCTTTGAATGCTGGTTGATTATTGATAGAAGCACATTCATTACTTACTTGCACTAAACTACCAAACTCCTTTGGAAGATCTTTCAGTTTGTTGTTTTTCAATTGCACCTGAAGAACAGTACATAGTTTTCCAATAATTTTTGGAACTTTGTCGAGCTTTTTGTTGCTTAAATTAAGTAGTTTTGGCTCGCCTTTTAAAGCTCGTAAGAGCAGCGTGTCCGCCATGTTGTGGTTGCTACTGTTTACTGCAGAGCTGTATAATTACGTTTTAGTTTCGATTTTTTTCATCATTACAGTTAGTTGTCTTTACAAGCCATGTGTGACTATCATACAATATATCGTGACATTTTTTGTAATTATTGTTCTCAAATAATTTATTTGTTATTCAAAATATTTATTTTTATGGAATTGTAAGCATTCAAAACTGCATACCTAATGCACGATATATTTTAATGGCTGCCCCCACTAAGAATCGCATTCGAAACGTTTACAGGTAAATTAATCCCGATTGAAGTTGTGATCATAGTAGGTGCTTGTATTTTTGGATGTTTTATGAACCAGTGTGGTATCTCTGCATTTTCTATAGAGAAACATAATGACATAATTTAATCCAAATACGCCTCGGTTGTAACTTCGTTGTTTTGACCGAATCTGAACGACAAACTTCTCACAGTTAAGAAGGTAGAATTGCCATTTTTGTGTCTGGCATTATTCGTTTTCATTCTTGATAAAAAAAATAATTCAAAATGCCGAAAATAAAATACGATCACGATGATGAAGATGGGTCAGTTCATCGGCTGGAAGGATCGGACGTAAACCAACAAGGTGGACTGATAATCATGAAAAAAGGTCCCTCTGCCGATTCTGGAGAAAAGCATTCATTTAAACCACCACTCATCAAAGGCTCTTTGCTCGGCCTTGACAGACTAGCTGCCGATAAGAGGAAAACAAGGGACGAAGAAGAGGAAGGTGGTTACAAACGTTCTAAAGTTACATCTTATAAAAATGATGAAGACAATGATGAAGACATAGAGGAGGAGGATGCTGGTAGAGGGAGCCATAAACCTCCCAAAGACAGGTGAGACCCTAACCCTTTTTACATCAAATTTTGTTTCTTAAGCATTTCATTTTTTACACACTATTTTCAGAACCTGACTATTTAATAGCATGTCTACGTGTACTGGTAGTATTATGAAAGATAAATTTGTGGTCTTTAAGCAAAACAATATAAACTTTAGTTTATGTCTTGTTTACAAACAGTTGTCATATTTTCTTATGTATACCATGCAGTAGCATGACTCTAGGTCTTGTTTACAAACAGTTGTCATATTTTCTTACAGTATGTATGCCATGCAGTAACATGAGTTTTATCAATCGATGCACTGTGTCACCTTGAACGCAATGTCAAGCCAGTATACTAATGCATAACTTCTATAATACTTCGCACTTGGTTACAGACATTATCGCCCAGCCAGAATGGAGACACCATCACATCCTGGAGGAGTCAATGAAGAAGTAAGGTCAAAAATTCAACACAGACACAAGGAGAGGGAGCGTGGAGTGTACGCCTCATCCAAAGATAAAGAAAAAAGGAGAGACAAAGACAGAGGTTGCTTTTTAATTTGTTTTATTTCAAAATTTTTAATATAGTCTATTTTAACTTGAACACCATTGTTATCTGCAAGGTGATATCATTTTTGTAAGTACTGTAACGTGGTCATTCACTCTTACCACACAGATATTATTATGAACTTCCTAATAATAATATGATTAAATTTTATATGCACAATATAGTTTTAACTGAGTTCTTCATTTATACAATTCATGGCCATGTGGGTAATTTGAATGATAAATTCTACCACAAAGTGTTTTTATAATGATGACATTGTGCAGCAATCAGAACAAGTGGAAACTGATGATCAGATATTGATATAATAAGTTTTTTTCTCTATTTTCAAGATCGTAAGAGGGACCATGATCGTAGGTACGATAAAGAGAGATCAGAAAGAGGTCACAGGAGTGAAAGGAGTCAGAGGAGTGAGAGAGAGTGGGAAGAAACGCCGTCTAGAAGTCGAGATGAACCTCCTACTCCAGCCAGATACAAACCTAAGGGTATTCCCACAGTTAGATTTAACGTTTATGAGAAATTTTTAATGTATTATGGGTTTACCCTTAAAATGCTGTTATATGTTTGCATTCAGATAGTTGAGAGGAGGTTGTAATTGGGCCTTTCTCTTCTTAAATCTCTCTTCTAAATAACATGTTTTACATCTGTAGAGCTTTAATTTATTTCTTGATCTTCTAACTTCTATAATAAGGCAGAAAAGCAGTTGTATGTCATCTTTGCTTTCATGAACTAACACTAAAGAAAAAGAGGTGGTAAAATGTTTCAGAGAAAAAAATACTGCAGGGTGGTCAGAAATTTGTTCATAATAGTTACTTGTAGAACATTTTGTTTGACCCAGCATTATATCTATAACATAAATAATGTTTACCATTAAGCTAGAATGTAGTTTGTCAGAGTGAGCCCAGACAGGTGCTTTTAATTTTTAGATACTCCATCAGGATCAAGCTGGGATGATGATGACATCACTCCCCCTCAGAAGTCTGTGTGGGATGTCCCCACACCATACAGGTCAGAACGCAGAGGTGACCGCGACAGAAGTGACCGAAGTGACAGGAGTGACAGAAGTGACAGGAGTCACAGAAGTCAAAGATCGTCCAGGGATGGGAGAAAACATGACAGAAAGTAAGTAGGAAACTTAAATACACAAAAGACATTTATCATGACTCATCTTATTTGTCGGTAATGCACATTTGGATATTTATTTTGTATCACACATGTCATATTTTCTTTCATGTTTGGGAAATGAAGTAAATTTCTTGTTGCAAAAATTTGCAAATGATTTCTTAAGTGCTGTAATAGAACCTAGTCAAGCCTTGAGTTTTAATCTCAATATGAATGAATTGGTCATCCTTTGAGGCTAGCTGGACTATTTCAGGTGTTAGATAACCGAAGTCTTGTGAATTTGATTGTATGAACCTAATTTTGACTGTTAAAATGTCCCAGGTCAAGGAAGAAGACTGATGACACCCCGCTTCCCACGCCTTCTTACAAGTACAATGACTGGATGGATGACAGGAAAAAGATCCGTTACACACCCAGGGAGAGAGATAACAGAGATGGTGAGATCATTGGGTCTTTATCTGTGATATGGGTCTTTAAAGAGATGTTGAATGTGAAAGAAAAAAAAAGATTTTACATGCATTCTGATTTGTCAAGGACAGTTTCAAGATAAACAGATTATGTTGGATAGTTTAATGCATTTATTTTTTTTTTAATCAAAGAAAGTTTTAAAGATAAATATCACTTTACATATTTAACAACAAATAAATCAGACCTGCAAGACTAATTGAAAAAATGAGTAAATGTAGTGTGTAGAAAATGAACAGTTTAAACATTTCATCATTATGAGTAACACCACTACACAGACCAACTTTCATTAGAACGAAGTAAATCCACATTTATTTTTAAATGAAATAATTTTATCAATAATTTCTGTTAATTTGAGAACAACTGTTAACAAATTTTAATATTTGTATTCTAAGAGGAGGGTTGGAGGAAAGACTTGACTGAAGAAGAACGCTTAGAAATGGAGGAAGAGCAGAAGCGTTTAGATCGTGAGTGGTACATGCAAGACGAGGGTTATGACGAGTCCCATAATCCATTCTCTGGCATGTCAGCCGAGTATACCAAGAAAAAGGAACAGGAAATTGAGAAGAAAAAGGTCAAGAGGATGTCTGAGAAACAGAGGCAGATAAATAAGGTCAGGAGCTTTTTTTTCTTTTTTGCTAGTTTAAATTATATTTGTGTCAGGGGCTTTTTAAGCAGCTTTTTATCATCATTGAAATATTAGTTAATACCTACAAAATGCTGCATAAATTTAATTTGGTAAAGAAATTATTATAATTTGTTGTTAGATGATAACTAAATTATATCTGTCACTGTTAACTTTTTTGCTTTCTATTCTAAAAGTGATGTAAATTCAACTAAACAAATTTTTGGGGATTTAATATTTGAATAAATATTATTATTATCATCATCATCTTAATTAATCTTTACTTTAATTGCATTTTTTAAAAAATTTATTATTTGTTTATCTTTTTATTGGCCATTATTATAATTTGTCCAGGATCTTTTCATTATAAATACTGTTCCCCTGTTCTGCAGGACATAGAGATGTGGGAAACCAACAGAATGCTGAGAAGTGGCGTTATCCAGAAAGTGAATTTTGATGAAGACTTCGAGGAGGACAATGAAGCTCGGGTTCACATCCTGGTCCACAACATTGTCCCCCCATTCCTGGATGGCAGAATGGTGTTCACAAAGCAACCAGAGCCTGTGATACCCATCAAGGTAATAGACCCCTCCCTCCCTCTTCCCCCCTTTTCAAATGCACATTTCTCATGATTGCAGTCTCATCTGAATTAGGAAAGGTGTAAAATCACAGGTTAACGATACTGTGGGCTTTACTCTAAGCTCCACAGAGATTGTGTCTTAACTAAAAAAGAAAACCAAGCTCATGCCTTAAGACCTTTAAGACTGTTCTATTTTAAACCAAATCTCAAGCACATTCAAGGTGTGTAACCATAAAACATATGAAAGTTAAAAACATTTGCAAAGGATTCACGACCATATTAAGTTCAACTGAAAAAATCCAAACTGAACATCACCAGATGAACTGATCACTAATTGACCTCATTTCCCTAAAATTTGATAAATTCATACATCTACTTTCTGTCATATTTATCATTATTTATATTGTATGTAACTGTTAATTTTATATTTTTCTTTCTATTTATCTTAGGACCCTACATCAGACATGGCCCAGGTGGCCAGAAAAGGCTGCCATGTTGTCCGCCACCACAGAGAGGAGAAAGAGAAGAAGAAAGCTCAGCAAAAACACTGGGAGCTGGCAGGGACCAGGATGGGGGACATTATGGGGGTCAAAAAGAAAGAGGAAGAGGTAAAGGACTGTTCCCATAAACCCGTCATACTAGCTGGACTGATCTAACTCTGTGGGAATTCTCACTAAACTGCTTTTAGTGCAAGTAACTCAAATGTCTGCCACACCTACTCAAGCTGCTAGGGGGTAATTAACGATAGTCAGTTATCCCCTAGTTACTCAAGGGAACTCAGTTTAGCAAGATTCCCCACAGAGTAAGATCGATCCACCTAGTACGATGGGTTTATGGGAATGCAGTTAAAGACTAGAACTATGTTACAAAGTTTGATTTGTTAATTATTAATTATTGTATGTATGAATTGTGTTTAATACAGGGGAGCAAGGAGAATGATCCTGCGAAATATTCACATGAGAGGTTAATTATTTGTTGCAGTCTCTCATGATTGATGGTTTGAAAAAAAGCATGAAATACTAAAAATGATTTATTCTTTAACATTAAGATTTGAAGCATTCTTTAAATGTTTTTTAGGTTTGTGATTGATTTTGTCAAGTTTTTTTTTTAGGATAAAGATATAGATGAAGAGGGGAACTTGGACTGGAAGAAGAATCAAAAATTTTCTGACCACATGGGAGATTCCTCCCAGGCAGTTAGTGAATTTGCTAAAAAGAAAAATATTCGACAACAAAGGCAGTACCTTCCTATATATGCTGTAAGGAATGAGGTAAATAAATCATTGGATTGCTTATTGGAGTATCAGTTTTTGTATGATTTCATATTTCAGTTTTGTTTCATACATGACATGACTAATTAACGTTTCTTATAAATAAACTTCAGTGATAGATGTAGTTTAAGAAACTGCAAAATGTTTACAGATTTAAAAGTTTTAGAAATAACTATTTTAGCAAGCCTTATTATTTTTTCTAATGTTATGTTTTATTGGCAAGAATAGGTAATTTATACCAGGTATTATATTCCCCAATGTAACTGCTATGGAAAGTAAAAAATCAGTCATTTCCTGGGTTAGCTCTCTTAAACCAAATAACTACAAAAAAGGTGAAAAGCATAACACAGAAGGAAATTTTGTTCCAAGCTTAGAAGACTAGACTGTGTCTTGTAGCTTAACTTATCAATATGTCAATTTTCAGCTACTGAATATCATCAGGGATAACAGTATAGTTGTGATAGTGGGTGAGACTGGCTCAGGTAAAACTACACAGCTGACGCAGGTGAGTGTGACTGGGATGGGAATAACCTTGCGCGCGTTATACGTCACAGGTCTTGCGTAACTACCCACGTGCTACGATTTTTCCCTTGGGGGGCAGCAAGCGGCCATTTTGTACACGAGCAAAGCATAGATGGGTGAAAACGATACGTTGTTTTTAACCAAAAACGATGTCCCCAGGGCGAAACTGCCAACACCAAAAGTAAAGGAGCATACCAACGTTGTTTTGAAACGATGTGGTTAGCCTGTCAGTGGCGAGTTGGGGAGAAAAGAGCAGCACTGATAACAAGGTACTGTATACACATGAACCGGCAAAGTTACTGATAATTTCATGTTGCAAAAGCATAATTAAATCAGTAAGTTATTTTCCAAAGGATATTATTTGAATAGCAGATACATAAATCAAACTAACAACAATAAAAATTTTTGATGACATTGAAAATCAAAACCTGCGGTGCACGATAGGTTGAGGAGGACACTGCCACAGCAAGTAATGCATGAATTTTGTTACACAACACCATATGCTTGTGTCATTGTTATCTCTGTGGTATTATTACTCAATTTACTGCTCAAATTAATACCTGATACTATTTCTCAGGCTACCAAGTACAAATCAACTTATTTTGTGGCAATTGACCTCCATGTTCCATCTTGTGTGCAGGTTGTTTATTTTTGTTATCATTATTATTATTTTTTTTTCAAACACATTTTGATAAAGTGGCTATGCTTTAACAAGAGAAATTTATGCTGAAGTTTAAAAGATTAAATTATCAGTGGNAGTGCTTTTAGTGCAAGTAGCTCAAATGTCTGCCACACCTACTCAAGCTGCTAGGGGGTAATTAACGATAGTCAGTTATCCCCTAGTTACTCAAGGGAACTCAGTTTAGCAAGAATCGCCACAGAGTAAGATCGATCCATCTAGTACGATGGGTTTATGGGAACGCAGTTAAAGACTAGAACTAGGTTACAAAGTTTGATTTGTTAATTATTAATTATTGTATGTATGAATTGTGTTTAATACAGGGGAGCAAGGAGAATGATCCTGCGAAATATTCACATGAGAGGTTAATTATTTGTTGCAGTCTCTCATGATTGATGGTTTGAAAAAAAGCATGAAATACTAAAAATGATTTATTCTTTAACATTAAGATTTGAAGCATTCTTTAAATGTTTTTTAGGTTTGTGATTGATTTTGTCAAGTTTTTTTTTTAGGATAAAGATATAGATGAAGAGGGGAACTTGGACTGGAAGAAGAATCAAAAATTTTCTGACCACATGGGAGATTCCTCCCAGGCAGTTAGTGAATTTGCTAAGAAGAAAAATATTCGACAACAAAGGCAGTACCTTCCTATATATGCTGTAAGGAATGAGGTAAATAAATCATTGGATTGCTTATTCGAGTATCAGTTTTTGTATGATTTCATATTTCAGTTTTGTTTCATACATTACATGACTAATTAACGTTTCTTATAAATAAACTTCAGTGGTAGATGTAGTTTAAGAAACTGCAAAATGTTTACAGATTTAAAAGTTTTAGAAATAACTATTTTAGCAAGCCTTATTATTTTTACTAATGTTATGTTTCATTCGCAAGAATAGGTAATTTAGCCAGGTATTATATTCCCCAATGTAACTGCTATGGAAAGTAAAAAATCAGTCATTCCCTCGGTTAGCGCTCTTAAACCAAATAACTACAAAAAATGAAAAGCGTAACACAGGAGAAAATCTTGCTCCAAACTTAAAAGACTAGGCTGTAGCTTGTAGCTTACCTTATCAATATTTAAATTTTCAGCTGCTGAATATCATCAGGGATAACAGTATAGTAGTGATAGTGGGTGAGACTGGCTCAGGTAAAACTACACAGCTGACACAGGTGAGTGTGACTGGGATGGGAATTGAGTGGGACAGGATGGGAATTGAGTGGGACAGGATGGGAATTGAGTGGGACAGGGATGGGAATTTGAAATAAAAAAAAGCAGTAAAGAAAGGTGCTAGATTTTGTATGAAGTGTTCAGAACTGGCAAAGAGGAGTTTTCCTCTATGTTTAGAATTTATTCTTGTATCCTTGACAAAAAGTCAACATCAACTTTGCTGACTTAGATGTTCAACTCAAGATTTATGTGTTAGTTGTTGAAAAAGTATTGATATAAATAGTTTTAAACTATTTTCAATCAGTTTCTGAGAGGTACTTCATTTAATTGCCAAGTATATTTACCTGTTTATTTGAGTTCCCCAGTACACACACACACACATGCACGCACACACATCTTATTTTGTTTATTTAATGTAACTTTAGACATAAACACTAATATATGATTCCCTACTTGTTGCAGTATCTTCATGAAGACGGATACACCAAGTTTGGCATGGTGGGCTGCACACAACCTCGTCGAGTGGCAGCCATGTCTGTCGCCAAACGAGTCTCGGAAGAGATGGGGAGTAAGCTCGGGGATGAAGTGGGGTATGCTATTCGATTTGAGGATTGTACCTCGGAGGTAAGGAGCAGGAAATTATGTATACTTTTTTTTTTTTGTGAAGTCTGTTGGTTTGAAAGTAACATTTATGTCTCTTTGATCTAAACCGACTTAAATGATATGACATAACAACTAAATGATAGGACAAACTCCAGTATGACGTTCAAAATTTGGCTGATGGCAGCTGCGATATAGTAAAGGTCCCTCTAATAAAAGAAATGCAGTAATTTAGTGATAAACATTGAATAATGTTGAGTAATGATATTTACATAATTCTTATGCCTGAAAAATCTACAGTTAATAATTTTACTTCCAAACGAATAGTGCACTCATTTCAATTTGTGGGGCAAACTTCCCTTTTAGTGTTGAGCATTCAGCAGTATGTCTGGGACGGTGTCATACCTGGGTGATTAGATTTGTCTGTGCTCCCTCTCCTTCTGTATTTCCCTCTTTTAATCCATCTTACTGCTGTGTTAATGTTATGGAAAAGGTGTCAACACCAAAATCTTGATTCTTCTGTCTTTACTTCCTTCAGTCCTCTCAGCTCAAAGTAGCCGTTCTTCAACTTGGTACAAATGACCTCTCCTTTTGAGATCTTATTACTGTTATTGAGAAGATGGCAGAGCTTGTTAACACCATCTTTCAGTATCACTGTTTACCAGAAAATGTCCCATATATAGTGGCTGAGGTGTTGGAGATACAGGGGCAAACGGAGGTCATCTTCTCAAATAAATCATTTACATGAATTCAAAGCAATTTTAGGTTATTCAAAGTGCAGGGGCAGACAGAGGCTGTCTTCTGGGTCTTCTGGAAGATGGTCAGAATTTTTTAGGGTTGCATTGATGGACATATGATTTTTTTTCTGTCAGAAGATGGTCAGAAATGAAGGATGGATCAACAAAGATAGCTTGGAATACTGTCAGAAAATATCTCTGGATCCACCCCTGATGAAAGCTCTCTCAGATATAAAAGCTTTCAGATTCTGTGTAGAAAGTGAATTGTTTATACTATGATGATGAGGTCACTGACATTCTAATATACATCTGTTTAACTGTATGTTATTTATTTTATTTTATTGGTAACTTATTATTGACAATGCTTACAGAAAACAATTATCAAGTACATGACAGATGGTATACTGCTGAGAGAATCACTACGCGAGTCTGACCTAGATAACTACAGTGCAATCATCATGGATGAAGCTCACGAACGGTCGCTAAATACTGATGTCTTGTTTGGTTTACTGAGGGAGGTAAGCAGAGGGTAATCTAACTATTGATTTATTGATTCTTTTATACATTAATTCATTCATTTTCTTAACTATTGATTCAAATAGTGGAATATTTACATTCTATTCGTTTTGTGAATGCTATCTTGTAAGAAAAAAGGTATTTTAACATTTGATATGATATCAGTAGAGATATACTGGATCTTGTTTATAATATAAATTTACTGTTGGAGAATAACAAAAACAAAATGTTTTCTTAAAAGCTTTCTCATTGTTACACTGATGGTTTTCAATCAGAATCATTTTTTTGCTCAGGTTATTTTTTGTTTTTGTTTTTGTTTATATATCCCAGGTTGTTGCTAGGCGACAGGATCTCAAGTTAATCGTCACCTCAGCCACCATGGATGCCACCAAATTCTCCACCTTCTTCGGCAACGTCCCGGTGTACATAATACCTGGCAGGACATTCCCTGTGGACATCTTCTTTAGCAAGAATACAGTGGAGGACTACGTGGACGCAGCGGTCAAGCAGGCCTTGCAGGTCCACCTGATGGGTAACCCAGGTAAGACGGGACAAGCTTTTCTATGAAGGGAAAAAGTTAGTTAAACTGAATGTTACTTAGGCTGAAGTTATTAAGTTCTGAGTGTATGAAAATTTGTGTCCTGATTAAGGCTACTCTTTCAAATATGTTATAGTAATTTTTGTCAATGTGCATATGAATATGGCTGTTAGTGAAAAAGAAAACAGCATTATGAAAGAAAAAAATTAACCGACTATGAACTCAGAATATCCCTTTCAAGTTTTAAATAATCTATACTTAAGTACTAAAACTTTAGATGTGATTTTTTCATCTGCATAATCCTATGCTACAGTATTGGTCATTAAGTTTTCTGTTTTGTCCCCTGCAGGTGACATATTGATCTTCATGCCTGGCCAAGAGGACATTGAGGTGACATGTGAACTGCTGGCAGGTAAGGACACCCACTACACCGTGACATTTGGGGACATTTTAATGAAAGTTGATCTGTGTGGTTGTGTTACTCAAAATGATGAGATGTTTAAACTGTTCAATTTAAAAGCGTACCTGAGAGCTTTCATCCCAACGCTTGGGACTTTATTATAGTCATATTAGTAACTTAATTAAATATAAATTTTGTGTAGAAATTGACAGTTTTAAATTTCAACATTATGAACATTTGAGGACAGTTTGTGGGATTTGAGAGAGAAATATTTTAACAAATAATTCCCCCTCCCTTTATGTTACATGTAAAATCCTCTTAGAGTGTGAAAATTCCATCTTGAAATGTAGAAAAATCCTTCCTTTAATTTGGAAAAATCCTTGTAAAAATGTGAAAATATTTCATAAAATATCAAGACTCTTTTAAGAAATATCAAAATATCTTATATTTCAAATATCCTCCATGAAATGTGAAAAATCCTCAATGTAATGTGAACTAAGTTAACTCATGTAATGAGAAAATACCTTTGTAAAATGCATATTGTAGAGCGTCTTGATGAGCTTGATGAGGCGCCCCCATTGGCCATCTTGCCCATCTACTCCCAGCTGCCCAGTGATCTCCAGGCCAAGATCTTCCAGAAGGCCCCAGATGGGATCAGGAAAGCTGTGGTGGCCACCAATATAGCCGAGACCTCCCTCACAGGTAAGAGACACCAAGTGGAAATGATCACAGATCACTAAGACTTGTTGAAATAATAATTATTATTATTATTATTATTATTATTATTATTATTATTATTATTATTATTATAGTCTAAAATCCATACAAAATGTTTAGTAGACTTTACAGGAGTAAAATGAACAGAATTGGCATATTTCCTGGTGGTTTAGGTTCTTTTACAATCCCTGTCATGATATATTTTCTGTTTCTATGTTGAAGAAATGGTTCTGATGTTGGTTTAAAATAGGAAGAAGTTAACATTCTTACACATGACTGGCATGCATGCATGCACAAGTGTTTCAACTGAAAATGCAGCTGTGGAAAACAGATTATGTTAAGAATTAAAGGGAGTTGTTTAATATACAATTATTGATACTTTATCTTTTTTTATTTTCATTGTTTTTATTCAGAGATAATGAGAATACTAAACAAAGAAAAAATAAACAAATATACCACATAACACAAAACGGAATATTTTAACAACAATACTATACCTGTAACGATGCTCCACCTGTTTACACTACAACTAAATAGTTCAACTGAGACTTGTATTGTGTTCCAGTGGATGGTATACAGTTTGTGGTAGATGCTGGTTTCTGCAAGCTGAAGGTGTTCAACCCTAAGATTGGTATGGACGCTCTCTCTGTGTTCCCCATTAGTCAGGTGAGAAGATTTTATAGGGTACTGGAAATCTGTTAGCTTGTTCAGACTTAATGTTGCATTTGTGCTATTTTTTTTACCTTATCTCAGAGTAGGTAGCTGTTGCTTTTAAGGTTAGGTGACAAATTGCACAGACTATTTGTTGCTTTTATTTTTAAGGGACTGCTAGATAGATTTATCATTTATTTAAAGAACAGTGGCACATGAACTTTGATGAAAATGAATTTTTATGCCAGTCTTAGTGTTACTAATTATCTTAAAACCAAATGATCAATTTAAAGGAATAAGCTTAAGAACTCTTTCTGTAAGTGAGCAATGCACAGGGTGAGCACTGGATAACAATGTCTGTTGATGTTTTAGGCCAATGCCAACCAGAGGTCAGGNTCTCACACACACACACACACACACGCACACACACACACACATACACATTAGTGCTGCCTACTGAGACCAGAAAAAAAAATTTCATATTATCATTCAAAGTTGCTCTCACAGGATTATAATACTCTTATTAACTCATTGACACATGTATTCTATGTGCTTTGGCTGCAACATGAAGTAGCGTTCTTACCTGATCACACACAACTTGCTTGTACTGTAACAAGAACACCACACAGATGCATTCACACCAGGTTCTAAATTGGATATTTTTGGTACCTTTCAGACAGTGCTTCAGACTGTACACAGAGCGCCAGTACAAGGATGAGCTGCTGGTGACCACAGTGCCAGAGATCCAGAGAACCAACCTGGCCAATGTGGTGCTCCTGCTCAAGTCCCTGGGGGTGCAGAATCTCTTACAGTTCCACTTCATGGATCCACCTCCACAGGTAATTATTAAGACACCCACCAGCATATAAAGTAACTGCAAGAAAATGTCAGCAACTTAAAACAGAATATAACATGACACATTAAATACCACACAGGTAATTAAGACACCGACATATAAAGTAAGTGCAAGAAAATGTCAGCAAGTTCTTAGCCAAGGAACCTGACTTAAGTTGTTTTGTGAAACTCCTTGCAGGATAACATCCTGAACTCCATGTACCAGCTGTAGGTTCTAGGAGCCTGGTTGTTACACTGCTCCTGATAGGTCAAGATTTGCCCTTGTGGTCATGTAACCTTGGTAATTAATTTCTCAGCCAGTGAACCTGGCTTAACCTTTTTTGTGAAACTCCTTGCAGGATAACATCCTGAACTCCATGTACCAGCTGTGGGTTTTGGGAGCGCTGGACAACACGGGTTCCCTGACGTCCCTGGGCAGACAGATGGTGGAGTTCCCTCTGGACCCCGCGCTGTCCAAGATGTTGATTGTCTCCTGTGATATGGGCTGCAGTGCAGATATACTGGTGGGTAGATAGAGATGGTATCATTTACAGATTTCTATTAGTTCATTTATTTCAGTGTGTTTGTGTGTGTGTGCGTGTGTGTGTGCGCAAAAGCACATGGGCATTTTAAAAATTTTTTCAAACTTTGCTTCCAAAAATTAACTTTTGAAACAAAGCACGCTTACTTTTCATGAGTTTTGAATCTGCTTAGCTGTAAGACTTGTCTATTATGCTTAACAATGATACATGAAAAAATGTTTGAAAAAAATATTTTAATGATGTGTTGTTTTTAGCATTTGCCAAAATATGTTTAATGTGAACCTAGGATATTGTGAAGGATGTAGAGCTTGAAAATGCATCATAAGAACACTCGAAGAGAGGAGCATGACTGGTGTAATACTAATAGTTTTCCTTAAACAATATAATTCTTTTTTTTTTTAATTTTGATTTCTAACATAAGAAATATACATATATTTCTGAATCATTTATTAAAAGATAAACTGTTTTCCTCTTTCAGATCATAGTGTCCATGTTATCTGTCCCAGCCATTTTCTTCAGACCAAAAGGAAGGGAAGAAGACTCGGATTCTGCCAGAGAAAAGTTTCAGGTTCCAGAGAGTGACCATTTGACCTTTCTCAATGTCTATCTGCAGTGGAAGAGAAATAAGTATGAATTTGGTTCTGTAGTATAGCAAGTGAGACAAAGGGATATGAAAAGGGAGAGAGAAGAGGGAAGTGTGTGTGTGTGTGTGTGTGTGTGTGTGTGTGTGTGTGTGTGTGTGTGTGTGTGTGTGTGTGTGTGTGTGTGTGTGTGTGTGTGTGTGTGTGTGTGTGTGAGAGAGAGAGAGAGAGAGAGAGAGAGAGAGAGAGAGAGAGAGAGAGA